AGCAACAGTATTTTTGGCCTCTAGGAATACCAAAATGAAAAAGTAAATTGGTCCCGGGTCTAGGTCTTACCAAGAGACCTAGGGTAATTGCCTATTCCCTATAAGGGAAATTTGCTAATAATCAGCATATCATTATTTATATTGAATGGTGTGTGTTGAGGAAACCACTAATAGGTTTTAAACGTTTTAAAAAACATCTTTTGTATAATGGCATTAAACTGTTTAACCAACTTCCCCAACAGCTGAAGCTAGAGACTGATTTACTTAAATTCAGAAAGCAACTGAAAAGAATATTGAAAAGGCTTGCTACAGCGTCCGCGATTTCTCAGCTGACATGTAGTCAGTCATTCCTGTTAGACTAAGGATTAAACAAGAATCAAATTGTTAGTCTTTGTACATATTATTTAGCCTACCTTGATAAGAATTTTTCAGTTTTTACTATTGTTTATTTTTACGACTTTTCCAATACAATGTGTTTTTAGTTATTTTGGAATAAAGAACTTATGACTTATGACTATATAATCTTTTAATCGATTTTTTTATTATTTTTATTATTGTTTTTTCTTAATTTATAGATAAATTTTGATAAAATTGGGTAAATTTATTTGTTTCTTATCATACTATTATTATTTAATTAAAAGATATACTATATTACCCTCCCTGTAGCAGCAAACCTAGGTACCAGTTTAACCTAATGTTATTTAAATAGGTTTGTGAAAAATTTTCTATTAATCTATCTATTTCTATAAAAGAGGAACTATGTATGTATGTATGTGTGTGTGTATATACGTTATGGACTCCGAAACCACTCGACAGATTGTAATGAAACTTTCAGGCATTATTAAGCATCTTTCAAGGATAGTTCGAGTGAAGTTTGTTGCAGATCCGTCAAAAGGGCTCTGCCCCAGAGTGTTTTGTGGGCCAATGTCAGACTTTTTGATCTACAATGTTTACAAATAAATATAATTTAAAAGCAGATGTTTACTTTCACCAACTGTTTTGTAGGTTTGAATAATCACAACATTCTGTATTAGCATTAGTCATGATTTGAAATAGTGCCACAGTGTTTCTACAGAGTGCAGCACAGAAAACTATTTTACTTCTGAATAAGTCCAAATGTATTAAACCCCAATTGCAGCACACCTGTGCACTCAACAACGTTTAAATTCTACAATGTTAAATATTAAAAACATAAAAACCTTTATCAAAGTATTATAAACAATAAAAGGGATGACAATGCCTTAATATTTTTATCTTTCGTTCTATACCCACACAATCTAACATAAATTATTAAGTGAATAATAATAGTGCGTGCTATCTCGGATATTCAAATGCCTCTCAATTTGTCATCAACTCACCACATTACTGTCATTAAAAGAAGGAACTCCAATAATACTAATGCGAAACTTAAATCCACTTAAGCTGTACAACAATACCAGACTAACGATAAAAAAATTACGTCAAAATTTATTAAAGCAAAAATTATCAGTGGTAGGTTTAAGGGAGAAATAGTCTTATAAGAATACTGATGATTTCATTAGAATTACCCTCTGAATTTAAGCAACTACAGTTTCCTTAGTGTCTTGCTTTCGCAGTCACCATTATAAGGCACTAGGCAATCCCTGACTATCGTCGGTTGAAATGTAGGAAAAACATGCTTTTCACACAGACAGATGTATTTTGTTAGCGCAGCAACGCGCGCCGGGTAACTGCTTGTAGCAAATAAACTGGCATACTCTCTAAATCAGTACGGCGTTTGCTTCAAACAACTATATTGTGAAAATATTGAAAAACCACAATTTTTATACATCTTTGGAAAATTTATTTATTTTGAAGGTCTGTATTTTGACCGTTATTTACGTTACATACTTGCCGTTGGGCTTAAACTGTCACAAATCTATCCTCGTTTAATTAAATAAAGTAATACTTTCAGTAAAATCAACTGTTTGCGAGATAGAGTGAAAACCCACACGAATGGTGAGATTTTTGCTGTTTCGTTAACAAGTGGCGCGCCCCGCGGTGGTATCTCGAGGTGGATAACTTGGATTTTATGTTATGGACCCAACACTAACAACATATCCAAAAATCAGAACTACCCAACCTTTTGCACAGCAACCCCCTATTTTTTTGACGTATTTACTGGACTATCTTACCAGTCAGCAAAGGTGACGATTTTAATCATAGGTAATCTTATCTTAGCTAACAGTAATATGACTAAAGTAATCAAAAGCACTGATTCTTAGCATAGTATTTACCTCGGCATTCAGCCAAGTTTATGTAAATTAAAACACACAAGAAATGCATTTTATTTTATTTTGAGTACAAACTATAAATATATAAAATTTAGATAGTTTATCAAGTTCCATGTAAGATTTTATAAACAGTAATACAATTTAATACAAAAATTATTGATAAAATAAAACAAATACCTCTTATTCAATCACAGTTTTCATATGACGCCTAGTTTCCTCTTCCAGTAGTGTCACTGTCAGTAGTATCAGATGGTAAGCACTGCCACTCAATGGCAGTGGTAAGACAGTGATAAGACAGTGCTGGCCAGCCTGTACAGTTTTTATCATTTTTAGCGAATTTCCCATATAGGGAATAAGCTATTACCGTAGTACTCATGGTAAGACCTGGACCCGGGACCGATTTTTTTTTTCGTTTTGAGGTCCCTAGAGGCCAAAAACACCATCCGTTCAAATTCATATATATATATATATATATATATTTATTTTGTTATTGTATACATCAATGAGGGCTACTTTAAATGTTACTAAGCAAATCAAAATACCACAGTACCCTAAAAACATTTTATTTTATATTACTTACATGTTTCGGACATTAATGCCATGATCACAGTATAGTATATAACCTATTAGTTTCTTTTATTTACAAACATTATTAGATATTTCTTATTAAAGAACAGGTGATAACTTTTATATTAAGGGAAGGAGGTGTTTTCTTTAAGATGTATAATTTCATTGAATATTACGTTTTGATTTTGAATTTGTGTCAAGTTTAGTAAATTGTCTTTGTCATTAATATGGTGAGTATAAATATAAAAGTCTTCCTTTGTATTCATTTTTTCACCTTTATTTTCAATATCCAGAATGTGCATATTTTTATTCATTTCTGAGTATGTATGGTCGGTCTGAAGTATATGTTCGGCGTATGAGGATTTTTGTGTTGTCATATTGTTTGATCTGATTGCCTGTATATGCTCTTTGTATCTGACTTCAAATGTTCGACCTGTTTGACCAATATAGTATTTTTCACAGTTGTTACATGATAATTTGTAAATTCCTGATTTCTTATATACATTTGGTGGGTTGGGTATCGTATTTGTTCTTTTTTGTATTATGTTGAAAGCGTTATTCCTTGTTTTATAACTTAGTTTAAATTTTGAGTTCGGTAATGTCTTTCTTAAGGTTTTGTTTAAGGATGAGCTGAATGGAATACATATAAATTCTTTCTTTACGTTTTCTTGTTCTTCTACTTTCATTCTTTTTGTTTTTTCATTTTTTATTAATTTTTCAATCATTTTTTCTTTGTATCCATTTGTTCCTGCAATTCTTTTTATAGTTTTCTTTTCTATTTCAAAGTTGTCTTTAGACATTGGTATGTTAAGTAATCTAAATACCATTGATTTGAATGTAGAAATTTTGTGTTGCCAAGGATGGTTTGACTCAAATGGAATGATTAGGTCAGTTTGGGTAGGTTTCCTATATATATTGAAATTATGTCGATCGTTTTCTTTAGTAATTGTTATGTCTAAGAAATTTATCTTCTTTTCTTGTGTCTCCATCGTAAATTTAATTGTTGGGGAGATAGAATTTAAGTATTTCAAAAAATCTTGATATGAGTCTTTATTGCCGTTGTATAAGCATAATATATCATCGACATATCTATACCAATAGATTATATCTTTTTTAAATGGATTTTCGTCGTTTATGATTTTTGATGATTCTAGATGCTGCATATATATGTTTGCTAGAATACCAGAAAGTGGAGAACCCATAGCCAATCCTTCTAATTGTTTGAAAATTTTGCCATTGAATTCAAAATAGCTTTGATTGATTGCTACTCTAGATAGTTTCATAAGATCATTTAACTCATTTTTTGAAACCTGTGTATATAAGAAATCAGGAATTTACAAATTATCATGTAACAACTGTGAAAAATACTATATTGGTCAAACAGGTCGAACATTTGAAGTCAGATACAAAGAGCATATACAGGCAATCAGATCAAACAATATGACAACACAAAAATCCTCATACGCCGAACATATACTTCAGACCGACCATACATACTCAGAAATGAATAAAAATATGCACATTCTGGATATTGAAAATAAAGGTGAAAAAATGAATACAAAGGAAGACTTTTATATTTATACTCACCATATTAATGACAAAGACAATTTACTAAACTTGACACAAATTCAAAATCAAAACGTAATATTCAATGAAATTATACATCTTAAAGAAAACACCTCCTTCCCTTAATATAAAAGTTATCACCTGTTCTTTAATAAGAAATATCTAATAATGTTTGTAAATAAAAGAAACTAATAGGTTATATACTATACTGTGATCATGGCATTAATGTCCGAAACATGTAAGTAATATAAAATAAAATGTTTTTAGGGTACTGTGGTATTTTGATTTGCTTAGTAATATATATTTATATATATATATTTATATATATATATTTATATATATATGTGTCCGTTAGCGCGATAACTCGAGCAAAAATGATCCGATTTTGATTAAATTTGGTACAAACGTGTAAACCTACGTTTATTCGAACGAGTTCGCAAACCAGCATGATCGGACCATGGGAACGGGGGTTTATGGGGGGTTTTATGGGGTAAAAATGGGTTTTTCCCATTTTTGACCCAAAAAACATCAAATTTTGCAATTTCTTTCAAAACTATTTTGTAGAGCTTAAAAAAACAAATAATTTAGTATATTGAAGCGTTATAATGCGCCTAATGGTTACGGAGAAAATTCCAAAAAATTGCAAAATTTAAAATTCCCATGTTATTCTTATGGAGAATAAGTAAACTGTTGTAGTTTGCTTGTTTATTAACATATTTTGCCCAAATTTGGATCATCTTTTTATTTCTTACTAACAATTAACATTTTACATAAAAAAACACATTTACCCTCCCTGTTGCAGCAAACCTAAGTATGTGTTAAACTGATTCTATTTAAATAGGGATAAATGTGATATTTTTAAGGAGACATTTTAGTGTAAATCCAATCAGGCAAATGGAAATTCGCTTAGTCTGCAGGTTTGCTGCGGCGGGGGTATTATTACATTTTATAACTTTTTCAACATGACTAGTTTTAATTATTGTGACTGTGTATTGACATACCACAATGTTTTGCATACCAATGACCTGACGAAGTTCTACGGAACGAAACTAGTCGTATGAAAACTGTGGTTGGATAAGGTAATTATTTTATTTGATCAATAATATATTCCAACCAAGGGTCACAATGAACCTTGATGGAGTAAACCATAGGTATATTTATCTAAGTTGTGTTAACACTTTTGAAAATATTGTAGTAAGGCACTCAAACATTAAATAATTGACATTTCATTCAGTACACCTAGAAACAAGGAATATACAGTTAGCAATTTGTCTGAAGAGACAACTTTGTGGTTCCCGTTTTAGATTTTTTTAAGAGCCTTACAAGAAGCTTAAGCCTTGGCCTCGAAGATAAAAGCACAGGATTTGGGTAACTTTATTTTTTATCAAGCTTTAAGAATTATTTCAGAATAACCCCTATACAGTTTTGCATTTCAAGCTTTTTACAATCTTAATATAATATTAGAACAATACAAATGTTACTAAATATAAATTGAATGCAAGGAATACAAGCTTTAGGCAACAGAATATTTTCTAATTTAGTTTTTTTTATCATTCTGTATGAATTATTTGTGAATAAAATACAGTTTTGCATTTCAAGGTTTTAAAATGTTCATATAAGAACAATACAAATATGACTAAACAGAAATGCAAGGACTAATTCTCTAGTATCATTTTCACTCACTAGTTTGGATTTTCTCTTTACAAATATAAATAAATAAAGCCTATTTCTTCAGTTTTGTCATTCTTGTTACAAAGCTTTGAGTAAACAATCCACAGCGGCAATTCTTCAACAGATGGTTCATAAAAAGTCAAGTTGCCCCCGTAGTTGAGTTCCTCATAATTTCCCTTATGAACTTTATTGATCTTCCTGATTAAATTGAATTTGTCATTTTCTTGTTTTGTACTGCGGTAGTAGTATAGATTGTCCAGAATTCCATTCCATGCTGGCAAGATAATCAGATCTTTTTCAACTTGCTCACCAGGACAAACATTTTTGACAGCTTCTTTATCACCAGCCAATTCCTCAAACACTTTGTCACTCACCCACAAGCCATAATTATGCTCCATCTCTTTAAATATTTCCTCAAGATCCTGGCATGATAGATTTTCTTTTCCTGTCACAAGTTGATTGTGGTGGTTAAGTGAACTATTGAACAGCTCTGACATTTTCTTTGTTATATTATAGAGACAACATTCTAGTTCAAATAACGACCTGTTTTGATCACTGCTATCCTTCCAAAAAGAGCAGAGCAGACTCAACACTTCAAATTGGAATTTCGTCAGTTCGTTTGAATTGTAATTGCTTAAGTTTGCTGAAGATTTGTTTTGCTCCACAATTTCCTTAACTTTATGTGATATCTCACTAAGTGGGTGACACGGCAGATCACTAACATGATAGTTTTTCAAAGGGATGGCCTCATGTTCAATGTCGTTAAAGAAGTTGTTTGCCTTCCTCGTCTCATTTATCAAAGTACAGTAGAAGTGTCTAAAAGCTAAAATAAAACCATCTTCGCCATCTTCGATGCTTAATCTTTTAACAAGTTCTTTGAAGAAAGAAATGGAACCATTTGAAGGTGAATGCAAGTGTTGACACAGAGCATTACATAATCTGACTTTAGAAACAACAATTTCTGTTGAAATAATGTCCAGAAGTTTTTCCATTGCTTCTTCTACTTTTTTTGCTACAATATATCTATTGTCCTTATCAAACTGTTTCAATGCATCCATAATGAGAAAGAAATGGAAAACAATTTCTTTCACATCAGTGCTGATAACTCTTAAAATACTTGTAACAAGTAATGATGTATTCTGAGAAATATATTTTTCTAACCTTACTCCAGATTCAGTTTCAACTTCAGAATGAATACAGTTATTTTCCATTAGAGCCAACAAAATTTTGTCTGCTTCCTTATTTGTCAGATTCAAACTCTTTTGAATGAAATCCAATACATCGTCTGTGCAAGTAGTGCCAAAATAAAATAACATTTTCAGAGAGGAGTTTTCAAATGTAGCAATCAAATTAATCAAATCTTCTGCATCTTTAGTATCAGTACACAAGATGGTTAAAGAATTAAAGCTCGCAACTCCTGCAGCAACCCGGCCAGCGAGATTTATAGTTGCTTCTGCTGCTACTGTCAAACCGCGACCTGCTGCCGCTGCTATACCTCCAACAGCAGCAAAACCGTTTGCTGCTACATTCCAGTAGTCTTTTATTTTGACTGGTTCATCATGATCCTTTTTATTCCTTATCTTCTTAATCCCTCTGACAAGTCCATATACACCTCCAACTGCACCTCCCACCACAGCAACAGGAACCAATACTGTTGTTGCTAATCCAAATGCAGCTACGCCACCTGCTACTCCGGCACCAAAGTTTACACATTTACCGACTTTGTCAAGTGTATTCAAAACTTTTGCTGATGGTTTGGAAGCAGGTGTATGTGCAAATCCAATCCAGAACCCCTCAGATTTGATATACCTGCCATTCAAAGGATAGCTATACAATTTGTCAGGTAGCCTGTTTGATTGTAAAAAGTCATCCCATCCTGTGTAGAGTCTACAGTTTGAATCCAAATACTGAATGTTGTTGCTTTTTGCACTGTGAAATCTGAACACTGGAACACTGGAAATATCTTGACCTTGAGCATAAACCACAAAGACACATGAAAATCTCACTGGGGTAGAGCTCAACTTTTTTATTTTTTCTACTACTGGCCAAATTTTGGATTCTTTATCTTTGGAGTAACCTGTCTTATCTTTTCCTCCAGTTACATTCTCAGTGTTTGAGTTTGTGGTCTTTTGGGACAAGACTACATTTATGGACTCTGGAAGGCCAAACATTGCATAACCAACTCTTTTGGCAAGAGTTATTTTTACCTCTTCCTGGGAAAAACAGTCAAAATTTGTCTCATCTTTGTTTAGTAAAGTAAAATTTTCAAAATGCTCATACTGTTTCCTCTGGAGTTCTTTCAGACTGTCGATACTTATTTTGGCCAATGTCCCCACTCGCTGAAAAAATTGCAGCTTTAAAAGATTTAATAAAACCTTGGTTATAAAAAATTAATAGTCAAAAAGTCAAGTAAGTATTCAAGTTGAGGAAAATAAATTTTGATTAGAAACACATTATATTACAGCTACCTGAAATAAACAAGAAATAGTTAAGAAATAGTTAGTAATAGTTAGTCTTATCCATATAATAAAGTAGGCATTAAGTCCTCCTTAAATATTTTTGCCACTTAATCAAGTGCATGTTTGGAATCCCTGCTAACAACTATACAGGGTGTAACTCCACAGGAAAATATTTCTTTATATTAGAGGCTTTTAATATGAACTCCCTTCCCCAATAAACCCCTATCTTCATTAGAACTCACTGTCTCCAAGATTAAATTCTGTACAAAAACAAAACTTACAATTTCAAAGAAAATACCACAACCAAAGGAACTGCTATGTGGATAAGAACTGCTTACTTTTGTAGAGGCGCCTGACTGTTAAGTTTAGTTTAAAAAATGTATCTGTTATATTAAAAACCCATTTAAGGGTCCAAGTTTGAATCTATTGAAAACAATAACTTTTTAAAATTTTAAGCTATAAGTTAATTAAGATTTCAAAGTTTAATATCTAAAAAATGAGCCATTAAATAAAAAATATATACAGCACATCAAATTTAAAGTATGAGTTCATCTAAATCCCATGATACCGGTACCTACAGTAGAACCTCGCTAATCCAACCTCGGTTGGTCAGACTCCTCACTTGGTCCGACCGTGCCGCTAACACAATAAGCTTCCTCTAACATAACCTCATTGTCCAAGAAAAATACCTGGACAATTTTATAAATTGCGTTTCTTTAGTCCAATGTGTTGGAATTCGTTGTACAGTAGACCCCCTCTTAACCGACCTCGTATTAACCGATAATCGGATTATCCGCCTTCTATCGTAAAATAATACAGTTTGTTTTAACCGACCTTGCTTTGAGAGCAGCTCGGTTTAACCGGCGCTTTCTAGGAATCTCGCCATTTCCGCTCCCACGCTGAGCGATGAGAACTGAACGATACGCTTATCTCTACAGGATATGACTAAGAATAAGTTATTTGTGTTGATCACAAAAATATAGCATAGCCTATTGTTAGTTTGTCATCATCGTTCGTAGCATCTGATCTGTTTGTTATCTGTGCGGCAAATTTATAACATCATAAAGTGCGTTACGATTTTGAGAACTGATTATCTTATCGCTGGAGTAAACAGTAATATTATTCAGTGTCAAGACGTCTAAAATATAATTTTTGAGCTGACGACGTCCAATATAAAATATTTGACTGTTGCACGATGTCCAAGTGCCAAGACTTCCAAAAGTACAGTTACAGTAGAGTTGACCTGACTTGAAGTAATGTGACAAACGATCCCAGGTCTGTGTCCAACAGAGTAGAGGGGGTTTTTTAGTGAGTAGTCTGACAAGCTCAGGAGTCTCACACTACAGGCTGGCTACCTGTGTGCGTAAAAGCATTTTTACCTCCTCTCCCTTAAAAAAAAAGTCCAGTAGAGTCCCGATAATCCGAACTTCGGTAATCCGAAAGTCTGCTTAATCCAAAACCAAAAAAATATATTTTTTTATAAAAAAAATTAAAATTTTTAATTTTTTTTGAAAATTTTTTGAAATTTTTTTTATTAAACTTCACAGTTAGCTATACCTCGTCAAAGTATTCTGTAGCGGCCGGGCGAGATAGACTTTTTTTGTAGAGTATTTTAGTAAATATTTCACCATTTTTGTTATTAACATTTTTAATTTTCTTCCGCCAAATCACAAATGGATTTTATTAATAGATAATGCTGCAGCCACTAGGTCTAGCCTTAAGTAATGTGAAAAACAATCCCAAGCTCGTGCCTGCGTCCTAAGACAAAAAAAATTTTAAAAAATTAAAAAATTTATATTTTTTTCCAAAATTTTCTAAAAATAAAAAAAAAAAAGTTTAATCCGAAATATTTGTAATCCGGTCCCAACGATTTCGGACTAACGGGACTCTACTTGCTGCAAAAAATATAGTCTTTCCACAAGCATTGGACGTCATGGGATTGGTCATCATGCAACACCACACTTTATATTCTTTTAAAAATTAACTTAGCAGTTGCACGACGTCCAAAGCCTGTGCTATGCCTGTTGCACGACGTCCAAAGCCCTTGCTATGCCTGTTGCACGACGTCCAAAGCCCTTGCTATGCCTGTTGCACGACGTCCAAACGCTCAGCACTGATGCACGACGTCCAAAGTGCATGCACACTGTGAGTACTGTTTTACTGTCTATATTGGATACTAACCTAACCTAACCTAACTTAACCTAATCTAACCATGCAGGAGCTTTGGACGTCATGCAACAGCGCTGAGTAATTGGACGTCGTGCAACTGCTTAACAGCGCTTTGGACGAGGTGCTAATGCTAAGTTTTTTTTAAGTATTAAGTGCGCTTTTGCACGACGTGCAATCTCATGACGTCCAAAGCTTGTAGAAAGACTATATTTTTTAAGTTACTGTACTGTTGGACATTGTGGCACTTCGACGTAGTGCAACAGTCAAATATTTTTTTTTGGACGTTGTGCAACAACTCAAAAATTATGTTTTGGACGTCGTGGCACTGAATAATACCTTTGGATGTGCTTCCACTTGGACGTCGTGCAACACTCCCAGCTTTAGTAGCCTATGATTGGGTGATTAGTATAACCATGGCAACTTGTTGAATAGGTGGATGAAGAGAAACTCAAGAAATAATAGAAAAGCAATGAGAAACAAAAAGCAGGGCCGTATTTAGAATCTATGAGGCTCCCGGCGGCTCTCACCAGAGAGGCCCCTCTAAATATTCCGATTCTGATTCATCTAAGGTTGGAACTTAAGGGTTTAGAAATACTTGTGGTATTGCTTCAACTTGATGAATTGACCTTTTATTCCAACAATCCGATCGACAAAAAGACTTTCTATAGTTCTGTTCTTTATTTTGCTGTACAGTGTTTGGCAATTGTTTTGTTAGAGTAAAAGTTTGAGAACACTGATTTTTAAAGTTTACGGTTTTTATTACAGGACTAAGGTTTTTAATTACTTAACATAATTGAATAATCATCATGATTGTGCAATAGCCTACTATAATTGTATTTTGATGATGTAATATGCAAATTATCACATTAAAGTCCATTTATACAGTATTATGCATTGTTTTAAAGTTAGCAATGACTGTTTTATGTCATGTTGGTTTAACTGTGGTTTTCAGTTTTGTTCTAAATACAGTTTTACTATGTTTTTATGTCAATAAACATGTTCCTGTGATAATCCGACTTTTTTGCTATTCCAACCATGCTCCCAGTCCCGTAGGTGATGGATTAGAGAGGTTCTACTGTATTTAATTTTTTATTGGTCTATAAATACACAAGTTTTGCAACCAAAGTTTAGTAGTTAAACTTTTAAACATTTTAAAGTCATATTGCATTAAATCTAGTGACTACTGTCGGAGTTGATCAACTGAAAACCGCAATGGAATGGATGCTTGGCTATATAGGTGCTGCCAATTATTCATCATCTAAATCTCCAATTATTGAACTAAATCCATGAGGGAATTATATACCTTGGTGCAAATGAAAATTATATTGCAAGTTATGATAAATTCATGAGGAAAAAAATTTTAAAACTCAAATCATAATACATGTTCAGAGCAGTGCTTTTATACTCACCTTTAGCAGGGTGTCGGTAAACTCCTTTTTCAAACTGTTAAAACCCTTTAACCATATTGGGTATATGTCTTCTTTGTTGTTTATATCAGTAGTAAAATCAACACATTCCTCAAAATGTTTAATTCCTTTCTCATCCAAACCAGCACATTCAGCAAGTGTTTCTTTAGAGGAACAAATATTATAGAATTCTCTCTTACATTCTTCACAAAGAAGTTGGTAGTAGTGTGTTGCTGTTCTCTAAAAACAAGATTATTGAGTTACAAAAAAATAATAAGGGTTAATTATTTTGAGTAGCCATTAACTTGAGCTGAAAGTTATGTGTTGTCATTGAATATGTCTCATAAAAAATACATAGCGGAATGCAAAATAATAATTTTTCATTGTTATTTTAGGATAAAGTACAGGTTGAATGATCTTAATCTCCATATTATTCTAATCATACATAACTTAATATACATTTTTACTTTCTACACTTATACCATAGTAGTAGGCGTGTTCACAATGCAGTGGGGGAGGTGCCAGGGAAGGGGGGAGCAGGAGGAGGAGGAGGAAGAGGCTCCTTACTCCCCCCGCAAAGGCCCCCAATACACCCTACTCATAGTATATGGAGAAAGTATTGTTTTTGTCAACATTTTTGAGTTTAAGTGGGAAGTTCCCCTGAACCCAAAAAGTGGGTTTCAAAGCAATCTTTGTGTGGGTGATTTTTAATTTTTTTTAATTTTGATTTTTAATGGTGATTTTCCCATAAAATAACAGAAAAATTGAAATCGGCCTGAATGATTTTGATAAAAAGATGAGTATGTTATAGTCCTTTAAATTCTGAACAAAATGGTACCACTCGCATTGCTATACACATTATGGTTCAAAAGTTATTGTACTTATGTTACTTTCCCATAAAACCCCCATAAAGTAGTAGAAAATCAGATTTACAAAAGACACCTGTTTTGACTAAAATTACGGTATTATGTTATGGTCCGTATAACTAAACAAAATAGTGCAACCCCTCATCACTGTAAAAATTATGGTTCAAAAGTTAATGAAGCTTTTTGATTTCCTCTATAAAATTTCATACTCCCACCGCCTACCCATGATAAAGGTTGCTGACAAGCTAATGGGAGAATGTATGTGTCAGATTGCTGATACCGTCTATTAAATAATTGTTCAAAAGATGTTGTATAGGATTGTAACAAAAAAGTATGAGGGTTGATCCAAAAGTAAGTTACACTCTTTTAAAAAGGTAATAAAAAACTCCAGAAAAACTTTATTAAGGATATATTTTTAAAGCTACACTCAAAACCTAACACACACTTTGAATCCCAAAAGACGGTTGCCATAACTTTTCCTGCAGATTGCACGACTTTTGCTTTTTTTGGTGCAGCCTCATCTTTTGCTTTCCACACCATGCTCTGTTTTTTTGTTTCGGGAGTCCAATGATGAATCCATGTTTCATCTCCCTTGTGTCAAATAAACCATCCCCTTCGTCATTGAAAAATTGCTGAAATTGCAATGCTGCATCAACTCTCTGCTCCTTGTGTTGTTCTGTGAGCAAGCGTGGAACCCATCTTGCGCAGACTTTTGAGAGGTTTAGATCTTCAGTAATTATTCGATGAAGTGAAGTACGGCTTATTTCAACATTTGGAGGCAGTTCGGCAACATTTGGCATCAGTGTCAATGACCCTTCGGACGTCTTCGGCAATGCTCGCAACTCGGGAAGTTGAAGGTCGGCCACTTCTTTGTTCATCATGTGTCGTTGTCCGTCCATCAATGAATGATTGGCGCCAACGATGAACCATAGGCCTAGACATAACGTCATCACCGTACACACTACAAAGTTTACGATGAATCTCAGTCGCATTTTTTTAGTGGTCAAAAAACTAATGACAGCACGCACTTCACAATCGGAGGCAGGAATCAGTGGTAACTCCATGACGGCTAGCGCCTGACTGGCGTAGCGAGCCACGCCCAGCCTTGTGCACGTTGCAGTGCTGCCACAACACCCAGACGCTAATTCCCTGCTACTCCCAGACTTCTCCCTCATACCGCATGGATTTTATAGTGTAACTTACTTTTGGAACCACCCTCGTACTACATTGTTAGGTAACCGTGTTGCGTTGAAATAACTTGTAATAAAAAATTAGTAAAGAACTTTAAGTGGGCTGCAACTGTGTATAATAAGAAAGACAATGAATATAACAGATGTTAAATAAATCATTCCAAGTACAAATGTCATAGAGGAAACGAGCAAATATGGGGGTATATGGCAAAGAGTATCAAACAACATTGTACATCTGTGTTCATGTGTGCACATAATTTAGAATTAATTGTGTTGATCCAAGTAATTTATTGATTTCAGTTCTTCCTGTTATTAAATGTTCTATGTTAGTTAAAATTTCTTGCACAAGGCACACGCTTAGAAAAAAATGTTTATTGAAAACAATTTATTGACTTGTGCTCCACAATAGGATATGGTTACATAAGAGGAAAATGTGGTTCTTATAATCTACTGTAAAAAAACAGTTACATACCCACTATTAGAGGCAAAAATCAATTAATTATTGTACTGCTTATTTAATTTTAACAAATATCTCTTTGATTTATGTATTTGCAATCAGCTTGGTGACAGAATGCAAATTAATAGCTCTATCCAGAAGTTTGGACCGTTTCCATAAAAAATTTTTTTTTTTTTTTTAATTGGTTCAACCGTGGGAAATAAATAAATAAAAATAAATAAAAACGTCAAATGGGACCAATGGCTTGGGAAAATAATTTTGAAATGTAAACGTGTTAAGGTTTGTGCCCTTGAGAATCAGGTTTATAGAAAAACTAGTATTACAGCTAGGAATATGTCATAATGACTTATCATTAAAGTGCGCGGTTTAATAGGTGACAAACATTTGAGAAAACAGTAAGGTTGGCAGCTATAAACTGCATACTTGAATTATAGGTGTCAAGCTTACTGTTTTCTCAAATGTTTGTGTTCTTTATGAACGGTACATAGAGATACGGATAAAAACTAAAAAAATATTAATTTACAATATTTAAGGAATCCTAATTGTAGTATCTTTTCTCACAATAAAGCTGGCAAAGGCGGTATGACACGGTATGATTACAATTTAATTTGTAGTGGAATCAATAACTAAAGCTAAATTAGGCCTTCTACTCGAGCTTAAGACATGTAGCACTAAATTGAAAGCGGTTTGAGATAATTCATACAAGAATAGCTAACTTACCTTTACAAACAAGCGATAAGCATCATCTATGGTAGTAATATTCCCACAAACTAATTTGTGGAAAGTTTGTTTCACATCATCCCAAACACCTAAATGCTGCTTTTTTATATTGACTTCACTGTGAAAATTATTTGTATACCTTAGAAAACATATGGCTACGACCTTCTTGTTGAACATGTCGTGCAATGCCTGAAAAGATGAAATATTTCATTGAATAGTAAAAATCATATCTTATTCTTATTCTTATATCTTATTATTAGCTAATGTTCTTCACTTGGCTTCAACGTAAAAGAAAAAATGTAAATACAATTTAGGTTGATTTTTCTAGCAGTATATCGTTTATATGGGTAAATGAGTATGTTTAACTATCCTCTCTACTACAATTTAGTACTCTGTAAAAGAAAACAGAGCCCCCCCCCCCTTTTAGGGTTTTGTCTATTTTGCTCGGATAACTAAAAATGCAATCCTGAGTTACTTCTACGATCAAGACTAAAACTGGGGTCCAAACAAACAAAACTAGGGATGGACAGGTCCCAAAATTTCGGGAAATTTTTGGGGAAAAATATTCCCGATTTTCGGGACGGGATTACACTTAATTAGGGAATTTTTCGGTACGGGATTTGATCCGATCGTGGCGATTTTGCCGCTTCGCGAGTGACAATGACGCCGCTATCGTGATAGATTCAATTCAATTCAAAACTACCTTATTCATCTCTTGGACATAGAAATACATTGAATAGTGTCAACAGTTGTAAGTAATAGTTATTAAATACATTTCTTACACATAAAAATAAAAACAAAATTTCACATAGCCTACTTACATTTTCTTTCATGTTTCATGATGTTCACGATAGTTCCGCGAAAGCTGGAGGCGAAGTCATCACGCCGCGACCGCGGAGTTATACCGACGATCGCGCCGTGACCGCAGAGTCATACCGACGATCACGCCATGACCGTGGGTCATTCCGACGATCCCACCGAGACCACGAGTCATACCGACGATCGCGCCGTGACCGCGGAGTCATAACGACGATCGCACCGTGACTGTGTAGTCTTACCTACGATCACGCTGTGACCGTGGGTCATTCCGACGATCCCACCGAGACCATGAGTCATACCGACGATCGCGCCGTGACCGCGGAGTCATAACGACAATCGCACCGTGACTGTGTAGTCTTACCTACGATCACGCTGTGACCGTGGGTCATTCCGACGATCCCACCGAGACCATGAGTCATACCGACGATCAAGGCCGTGACCGCGGAGTCATAACAACGATCGCGCCGTGACTGTGGAGTCATACCTACAATCACGCCATGACCGTGGAGTCATACCGACCATCACCCCGTGACCGTGGAGTCATACCGACGCTCACACAGTGACAATGAGTCATACCAACGATCACGCCGTGACTGCAGAGTCATACCGACAATTGTGCCATAACCGGGGAGTCATACCGACGATCGCGCCGTGACCGCCAGTCATACTGATGAGCCGTGACTACTTTCCACCGGCGAATGTCACGACTCATAATCAATGGTCAAATTGTTTTTTGTATAGTAGGTTAGTTTAAGTGTTCGTTTTGTTGCTGTACAAGCTTCACTCAATTACTCTGTGCGTCACGTTTTCTCCCCTGTGCTGGGATTGTGATAGGTTGCGTGGTGTTCTACGAGTTAACTTCGCAGACTTTTTTATTGTAATTAATCTCCTTTGACTGACCAAGCTTAATAATGCAAAGTTGTTTAAGTTTTTCACTTCTTGTGCTTAGTCTGTGAGGTTATGGAGTAAATTTAGAAAGCCCAGCGCGCCTTTTGGATAAGTTTTGTTCATTTTCTGATACTTAGGTTATAAGTGCCGAGAGCACATGTTTGCACTGGGTTGGGAACCTAGTTACTGGGTCGTTGGACAGTTTTGGTAGTTAGTTTCCCAGTTTCTCTGTTATTTTGTGGACTTCAGGGCTTTCCCCGAGATGCTAGGCCTGGAATTGACTGAGAAATGTTTGCTGGAAAGCCGCTGTTTGAGAGAAACTGCCAAGTCAGTTTTTTTGTCCTTTTGACTGTTTTGTGGTAGGCCTAGGCCTACAATTTTGCTCATTAAATGTAAATGTCTTAGGCTACTACCTTTAGTAGCTTTTGTTTTTTGTGTCCCGTTAAAATTTAGTGTTGTTTTGTCTTGTAAATTGTTCAGTTTGTGTTACCCAGTCAAGTGCCCTTCAAATCTTTTATTTTGCTTTGTCTTTGCCAAACTAGTTAAATTAAGTTGTATTAACTGCTCTTAAAGGTCCCCAGAAAGTCTGAGTCATTTTATTCAAATTTTAAGAAAGTTACAGTAGTTTTGAGTTTGGCAATTTTCCTTTTAGGTTTGAACTGGGTAACCTGACGGCCAACTGGCTTCAGCCTTTGAGTTAAGGTTTGGAATGGTCTGGAGAAGTTGCTGGAACATTTCCCCCAGCTTTTAAGACCATTCCGAACAGATTCTGACCACAACTTGTAGAGTAATTAACAAAAATACATGAGTCGTTACGTTAGGCCTAAATCTTTTGTACGGAACGTTTAATGTTGATTTTAAAGTATTTTTCTGTGTTTAAGTGTAATTGTTTTGTTTTTAACTTGTTCTTCTGGCCACTTTGGACCAGGTAATTGACATTTTTTTTCTCTATTGGTGAAATTTATCACTGTCACATACCTATCTGGCCTGCCAGCCATTCTTACCTCAAATATTTAAAGTTACCGTTCTGTTTTGTATTTTTGTCCGTCAATTGTTTTGTTTAAATCAATATTTACTGTTTAAAATGTTTTATATTGTTAAAGAGCTGTGATAGAGAGACAATTCTTGTAAATTTAGAATCTTTTTTGAAAATGTAATGTTAGGCCTAAATCAGTGGAATTTTGGAACTTAGTGGAAACTGTTGAACATGTGACAGTGATGTTTATGGAATATAGACTTGGAACAATTACCACCAGAATTTTGGGTTTGTCACTCAGGGCCCAGGAGGACTACCGTCAACCTTTGACATTTTGAGCATGGCCGGAGAAACATTTCATCATGGGGCCCTCTTTTGGGACTCTGGCCGGCCCCCTCTCCGTCGAACTTCAGCAGCCCTCCAGTGATGTGCGCCTGAAGACCCATGAACTAGTTATCCGTCGTACCGCAAGTTACTTGTTTTGTTTTTTTTTTTTGTTGTTATATAGGTATTTATAGTTGGATTTATAAAAAGAAGGAACAGACTATTTAAAGTTATTATTGTTAGAGGCCTACAGAGTTTATTATTTGTTATATCTTTTAACATTTTATTTTAGCTAGCCTACTTGTTGATCTTTAATAACTTATTTTTTATTCAAATATTTCCTACTGTTTTTTTTATTTTTGGGGCTCCTAAGTTTTAATAGTTACCAAGATTATATGCCTTTATTAAAAAGAAATTATATAATTATTGTTATAATGGTCAATATGTAAATGATCTGATGGTAAAATTTGTTCAACGCTCTTTTGAAGTTTGCCTATTCGAATGATAAAATAAATGCTTGTAAGTTAGTAGGCTAGATGGGTAACTAAATCAGTTGAACTTTTTTGAAAGTAATTTATGTATTCTTGTTAATGTGTTGTTGTTGATTATTTGATTGTTTATTACAGCTCGTTTCTCTCAAATGGCGCGTTGTTCTTGGACCTTCCTCCACGGTTTTTCCTGTTGTTTTAAAGTTTTTGTGAGCCGCTCCTCGGGCCTGCACATGGAGTCACGCTTTCAAGTCGTTAGCCTGGGTGTAGGTATGAGGGCGCGGTTCACTGACGATCGCGCCATGACTGCGGAGTCATACAACGATTGCGCCGTGACTGCCAGTCATACCGACAATCGCGCCATGACCGCGGAGTCATACCGACGATCGCGTTGTGACCGCGGAGTCATACCAACGATCACGCCGTGACCGCCAGTCATACCGACGATCGCGGCATGACCACGGAGTCATACCGACGCTCATGCAGTGACTACAAGTCATACCAACGATCACGAAAAAAGGTAAACAATCTTAAAATAGTAAAATGAATTACCCTTTTCAGTTCTTTCATTTTTAAGTCTGCCGAATTTCCTGTGAGGGTCTTTTCAGCCTCCTCCAAGATTTTGCTCATCTGTAATTTTGCTCCACTGAGTCCAGAAAATGCAATGTTATCAAGTGCTGATTTAAAACTACTCTTCCATTCTTCCACTAGAGCAGAGTTCACTTGGGAAGTACGCAACTGAAACATGGGATAGTCAAATAAAAATCACAATCACCTCGCTGTAAAACTTCAGATCTAGCAATCTTAACGTAAGATACAGCATTGATTTTTTTAGGAACCAGAAAATTTGGAATGGTTATCAACATCATATAAACTAGAAGTAATATCGTAACACATGTATCTAAATAATATTTCACTGGTTAGTAGTATAGAACATGTCACATCTTTGGTGTAATGAGTTACTGCGACCTTGTTGCAGATGCCCTTCTTTGAAGCAGTATTGGAGAATTAATGCTTTGCCAATTAATTAGTTGGCTATAAGAACGCTGATTATATTGGCAAGACAGTTGCATCGGAGTACCAGTGTTTCCAACAAAAATTGAAAATGAAATTCACAATGTATATGTTTGCATAGTTATTGTGATGTCGATAAGGATTAAGGAACCAAGGAAGGGCACAAGCGGAATCTAGGCAGACTTCAGTGTCAAATAGAGCAGTACACAATAGGCAAGCGGCAGTGGCAACAATGCAGAGTGCAAACTTCAGCCTCATTTCTGGTTAGAAGCAATTATGAATCCAGACCAACACAATGTATAAATACCCCCACCGCAGCAAACCTGCAGACTAAGCCAATTTCCATTTGCCTGAATTTATTTTAATTAGCCTAAATCTATTTAAATAACATTAGGTTTTTAGTACCTAGGTTTGCGGCTACAGAGAGGCTAATTGTGGATATTTATAGGCATGCACTGTGGATGCGATACTCCCTGGTGTGGATTAACGTCCGCACGGGTGAGTACTACGATTATCCGCAGTACTATCCTGATAATTAGACCAATTCGTATATACCAAGGAAAAAAGTGGTTCGGATTCCACTATAAACTGTAGGTCCCTTAGTCGCCATTAGCTGTATTGGCTATTAATTAACAGCTGTGTCTAAGGAATATGTCGGCCTTAGTCACTAACAAGACTACAAGATCGCGCCACTCATCCTACACTCATCTCCATTCATACTTGGCTTAAAATACCTACTTTGTATGGTCGCCATTTCAAAGAAAAGTACCTATTAAAAGTATTAAAGTATTAATAAAGTGTGTTTTTTTTGTAAAATATTAATAGCTTGATGTAAAAAGAAATAAATTTGCCAAGTTTTATAAAAATTATCCATAAACAAGCAAACTACATAATTTTACTTGGGTGTGCAATAATAAGCGATTTCAAGAAATTCCATCAGGGCTCTGCCCCAGTGGACTATTAAGTTCTCATGTTATCCTTATGGAGGAAGGATTTGTTTACATTTGAACAGATGTATATTTTTGAATTTTATACTTTTAACTAAGGGAAAAGCTGGTTGTATTTGATTGATTGAAATAAAAATATTTGAATTATTTTGTGGCTTGAAAATTGGTGTTTTACTGCATAAAGTTTTTTGTATTCGTTTAAATGAATTTAAAAATAAATATATGTACACTATTTGTTGATTTTTTTAAGATCTGTTTCTTAGCAACTAAATAACAGTATTATTATTTAACTAGCAGAGTACCGGAATGGGCACACGGGAGGGACTAAGGCTAAAGGTGTAGTGACGTCATATCTCTAGTGGCTAATGTCTACTCTTGAGGCAACACGATTACCGTAACGAAACGATGTGTTTTCAGCGGCGTTCGTGGCATAGTTGGTAGCGTTTCGATTTGATGTTTAGGAGGTCCCGTGTTCGAATCCCGCTGGTAGCACTAACTTTTTGTCAACAAATTTTTCATACCAGCAAGTTTGGTTGGTTAGGTTAGGTTATGACAGTTTCATTTTATAATACTAAATTTTAAAATTAATTTTATAATTAATTAAAAATTATAAGTAATCATTAATTAGATTTTTATCTTACAGTTTTTAAATTATCAGCAAGTCTGGTTGGTTAGGTTATGTTATGACAGTTTTATTTTAAAAATTAAAAATTAATTTTATAATCTTAAAACAATATTTTATAATTAACCCTAGCAGTGGCCAACCGTCGTCTGGTGACGGTATGACGTTTATGCTTAGAATGGCCAAAGTCGTCTGGTGACGGTATGGGCCGAAATGTTTTTACGGTAAAAAAAACACTTACAATCAACTCAGATGAGAATAATATATATACCATTAGAAAGATCACATTCTGAACTTTCATTTGATTACATAAACAAACCCTGTTGCAGGTATATAACAATGTCACGACGATTAGAAATCAAATGAAATTTTGGCGCGGCACGACTTTTGCAGCCGACACTTGGGAACTGACAAAACACGTCTTGTTTGGCATTACCCTGCTCGGGTAATTTTCGTCTTGGGATGTTGTGAGTGGTACCACTGGATAGCCATTGATTTTATCTTCATTGTGGTAGTGATATTTATAACTAAATATTGATTGCACAATCGGTACGATTTTATGAAAACAGCTGTTTTCGAAATTTCTAACAAATGGCCAACAGTTGTCTGGTGACAGTATGGAAAATACGAATTATATACAGTGAAAGTTATTATTACTAGTCATATAGTATATCATTTTGAAGAGGAAGAAATTTAGATTCAGAGAGTGGCAGCCCTGCACTCAGGGTTATTTCTGTATGCTCGCATGTAGACGACGGAAGTGAGTCATTACTGCTACAGTCTGTCAGCTGTCTTGTATTGCCATTGTTTGTTTGTGTTGTTGCCGGTAATAGTTTTATCCGCGATTTATTACTAAATATGTTATTAGTTCGTAGTGTTAGTGTTAGTGAAGTGTTGTTTGTGTGTATAACAGTAATCTTCATGCATAAATATTACTGAATTGTGTGAAATATAGTGTTCATAAAAGGTTGTATTTTGTTAGCATCATGTCCTAAAATGACGATTCTGACATTCAGAGATTGTTGTACCTATATAGTGATATACCCAAAAGGTGTTATACATTTTTATAAAGGTAAATGAATACACTACAACATGTTTATAATGGTTTGGGGGTAAAAAATTTTGTAAAAAAGTTATAGCCTATACTAAATAGGTCTACTACTGTATTTTGTTAGCATCATGTCCAAAAATGACGATTCTGACATTCAGAGGTGCTATATATGCTATATAATGATTTACCCAAGGTGTTATACATTTTTATAAAGGTAAATGAATACACTACAACATGTTTATATTGGTTTGGGTGTAAAAATTTGGTAAAAAAATTATATAGGCTACTAAATACTGTACACTCCATTTTCTCGAAATGCGCAAAAAATTCAAAACGTTCTCAAATTGATACATAATCATAGGTGAAAATAACTTTTTACCATCATACTTATGACTTTTTTGGATTCTTTACAATATGACTTTAGCTTTACAAATATGTAGGCTACATATCATCAGCCTACATAATGTTTCACAACACAAGCAAACACTGTAGGCTATAGTTTACACTTATTTGCGGTTTTGCGGTTATTGTATTATTATGTCCCTATTACGTAGGTACCTACAAAAAAAATATTTCTAACATGTTATACATTTTTATGTAGGTAATTGAATACACTACAAGATTATTATGTTGGTTTGAAGTAAACAAATTTGGTACAAAAGTTGTATACTAAGTACAGTGGAGTCCCGATAATCCGAACTTCGGTAATCCGAAAGTCCGCTTAATCCGAAACCAAAAAATATATTTTTTAAAATTTTGTTATAAGAAATATTTTTTTGAAAATTTTTTGAAATTTTTTGAAAATTTTTCAAAATTTTTTAAGTTTTTTGGAAAGTTTTTGAATTTTTTTTAAATTTTTTTATTTAACTTTTGACACAGTTAGCTGTACCTCGTCAAAGTATTCTGTAGCGGCTGGGCGAGATAGACTTTTTTAGTAAATTAATATTTCACCATTTTTGTTATTACCGTAACATTTTACATTTTCGTCCGCCAAATCACAAATGGATTTTACTAAGTGATAATGCTGCAGCCAATAGGTCAAGCCTTAAGTAATGTGAAAAACAATCCCGGGCTCGTGCCTGCGTCCAAAAAAAAGTAGTAAGAAGTAAGACAAAAAAAATTTAAAAAAGTAAAAAAAATTTCAAAAAATTAAAAAAAAATGTTTAATCTGAAATATTCGGTAATCCGAAATGGGCCCGGTCCCAACCATTTCGGACTAACGGGACTCTACTGTACTGTGAATTTTTTTTCTCGAGAAATCGCTAAAATATAAAAACATTATTTTATATACGTATGTTTATAGGTAAAAAATTATTTTTTCACCACACTATGATGTTTTTGGCTGTATTACATACGTTAATTGGTGGCTGAAAGTTACGTTTTGCTGGCCATGCCAGCTGTCATCGAAATTTGGGGACCGAGCAGGTTTTTACAGGCCGGGGCCGCAAAATCAGCTGTCCGCTTACTTACTTAAAACATGAATGCATTTTAAATACACAATCAAAATCCATAGCATTGCAATAGAATTGTGTTATTGTCGCCGTTGCCTAGCAACTATTTATTTTTATTTTTGCTGATTCCTCAAATTATTTCTTTACATAACCTTAAAGTTGTAGTTGTGTTGACTATCAGTGTGCATTATTATAGTGGTGAATAGTGGTAATAGGGTATAGTGTGGTGAAAAATAGCGTTCGTACCACGGGCCGAAATGGTTTTGCAGCTCTCAATCGATTTAAGTTCTCGACTTCGTCTCGAACTTAAAAACAATCTCGAGCAGGCAAAACCTCATTTTCGGCCCTAGGTACGAAATATACTATTACCATAAACTTTATGACTTTTTTGATTCCTTACTTCATTAGCTTTACAAACATGTATATATCATTATTAGTATACACATATATTATAGAACTTTTTACAACATAAACTAACACTGTACGGTTTTCAATTTTTTCGGTTCTCCGTTTGTCATTATATTTCGCCCCAAAAACTTATAAAAAAAAAATATTTTCCTAACATGTCATATATTTCTATGTAGGGAATTAGATTGTCTACAAAATGTATATAATGAATTTCCCATAAAAAAATCCGTAGAAAAAAAATACCAAGGCCGCTTTTGAAATTTCAAAAAAAAAATTCAAATATTTTTATTTTTTTCACTCTACCGATAAAATACATGTCTAAATCATTATTATGAAATTACTATTTCTAGATTCTCCTGTTCTTTCCGAACAAAATGAATATGATTGTTGTGACCAAAATGAATATGATGTATGAACCAACCTAGGTTGGCTAGGTTTACTTGTACGGTTGAATTTTTACGAATTTTCAAAAAAAGGTCTGCAAAATCGCCAAAATGGGTTGGCCATTCCCCACTTCTAACATTGGCCACTCCTAGGGTTAAAAAGTTAATTTTATAACTAAAAATAAAAAATAAAAAAATTTTTCAACTTAGCGGTTCTAGCGGCGAACGCTGACACTACAAGATATATTAGCCTTAGTCCCTCCCGTGTGCCCCACCGGCAGAGTACCCGTCCTTCGTACGGGGTTGGCATATAGGCTAAGTTTAAATTGCTTATTGCTTATACTCAAGCTTTTCGTTTGCAATGGGGGTGGACAAAGTTTGATAAAATTTGCTTCTTTAAATTGACGGTATACTTTGATATTACACATCTACCATAGCCATAATATTCTACCTCTTCACCTAAACAATAGAGAAAAATAAAGAATTACAAATTTAAAAAATCACAAATTATTCATGACATTAAAAACATAAACATAACTGTAAACAATCCTACTTTGACAGTTCTCATTGCGTATCACAGTTGTTTGTTGCTGCTTAGTTCAAATTAGCTGTTTAAATAAATACAAAAAAAATATAGTGCTGCACCCTGTTGGTAAATCTTATAACTTTTTAATGCTTTTGTATATCATAGAACCAACTTTTTAGTCGAAACAGCTGACTAAATTCTTTAATTCCCTTTAAATATGAATACTCATAAGGTTAACATGGGGAACTACAGAGCCACTGGGGCGGAGCCCGAAGATATTTTTGAAATAAGAATATGCCTATATGTTAATCGGGAATGTGAGCTATCATCATGCCAAATTTCAGCCCAATCCGTCCAGTGGTTTATGCGTGATTGACCTTCAAACACACACACAAACAAACAAACAAACACACAAATTTTCTCATTTATAATATTAGTAAGATGTATTCAGAATATTGGAGATATTAGTGTTAAAGGAACGATTGTTTGGAATCGAGTTTCATCAATGTTTTTTTTAGTGATCTGCGGTTTCTTTTAACTTTGCATTTGCCTGTCCACATAGACTAGCTGCCCATGCGTGGAACTTATCAAGCAAAGCAAGGGGGGAGCCGGTACAGTACGAAGGTGAATTGTACTGATAAAACGTTTGCGGCAGTGAAGAGGATCCGAATCAACGACATCGCTGCCTTGGGCCTGAAGTCTGTGATGCTACCGACTGAGCCACCGACTCAACAATCCCAAATCCCGGAATCGCTTAAGAAAATCCTGGCTTCTTCCAGGTCCCTTCCAATTCCAAAGTTTTTTCCCTGGTTTCCCGGTTCGTATACTCCCTGTTTGTGCTTTGACTTGTCTGCAAAAACTTTCTTCAGGTGAGTTAGCTGTGTTCTCTCCATCCTATATAATTTTTTATCCAAGCTAAATGCTTTTTCATAAAAAATTACTTTTCCTTTAAGTAGCCTAAACCTTTAAATTTTTTATTTCGGCGAGGGAAGGGGGCAGGAAGCTAAGTTAGGGGGGGGGATGTTAAGGGGTAGTATGAAATGTTAATGGAAAGGGGGATTTGTGCTTCTAACCTTTGGGAGGGATGGGCACCGATGCATAAACAGATGCTTTCATTACAGGTACCCCTATACAAGTGGAGCTTTATATCATTCAACAGTTCAAAAATGAAATTAAGTGTGTAGGCAATTGTTTTTTAGTTTGAAAAGGAATATAGTTGTTTTTCAAACTGACAAAGTGTATTTTACTCAACTCATCGCAAATCTATATATATAAAAGGCAAAGCCCTCACTGACTCACTGACTCACTGACTGACTGACTGACTCACTCATTCACTTATCACTAATTCACCCACTTCCCTCTAGGAGGCTAAAATTTGGTACACTGATTCTTTAGGCATTAAATAGGAAAACTAAGTAGTTTTTACTCTGATCGGACTCTCGGGCTCCGCCTCAGTGGCTCTGGAGTTTCCCATATTAACCTTATGATTTTTCATACTTAAAAGGAATTAATGAATCTAAACAGCTGTTTCAATAATTAAACAAGTTGGTTCTATTCTATGATGTTCAATAGCATTAAAGTTACAAGGATTACCAACAGGGTGCAGCACTATTATTTTATAAATTCATGACAACTGCTAATTTGTAACCAAAAGGTGAGTGAGCGTAGCGAACGAACTTCAACCTGGAGGGGAGTTAGCGTAGCGAACGAGCTAACCTGAAGGCAAGTGAGCGCAGCGAACGAACTTCAACCAGGACTTGATTGAGCCATGCGAATACTTATGAAGTTAAACGGGGCAAAGCCCGTGGGTACAGCTAGTAAATTAATAAAAGAAACTTACTTACGTTAATAAACGACATGGATTCATCAGGAACAGTCCCATCGATATCTGTCAGAATTTTGTACAAGTCCTGTCCAGTAACACATTTTTGCGGTGGAATAAGATTGTCTGGTTCAAATAAGGATTCCACAAATTTGTTGACTTCTGGTAAAAACTCCTTATCAAGCACTGGAAATATTTAATTGTTTACTACATTATGTTGTTAAGAGCTAGTAGAGAATCTAGAGACAATGCTGTGATCTATACTAAACACAAAGAAATAAATTAAATACTGTATAACCTTCTGGTAGTATCCTTGAAAAAAAAAATGTAATACACAGGAACTCCAATCATCCGGATCATAACAAAGGAGAAAAGATCAATCAGGCAAGAAAGCTTAGTCAATTGTAGTTGTTTGTTTGTTTGTTTTTTGCAAGGATGCTAGGCACTATCCTGGGATTGTTTTTCATTTGACTTTAAGCTAGACCTAAGGATTGCGGCATTATCACTTAGATAAAATCCATTGGTTATTTGGTGGGATTAGAACCCAGGACCCAGGGACCGAAGTCGCACACTACTTCTAGAGTAGCCACCCCCTGGCAGTTTGCAGTGATCCATTTATTACTTTATTGTGAGTTCATTATTTCCACAATGCGGGGAGTCTACTGTAGTACTGTATAGATCAGCAGGTGATGGGACATCTGTGTTGTACCACTGCCTACAACATTTTGCCTAGGCTGCATTAGACGAATTATTTTCTCAGTTAGTCAATGGTTGGAATCCAAAGGTTTTTTTGGTTCAAAGAGTTCTTAAACTGATTTTACATAACTTTAATATAAGCATAAGTTAATAAAAAATTACTGAAATATCATGATTTTTAGTTTTAAAATTATGTAGAATAAGGTTAAGCTAGTGACATTTGCCTCATTTTACAACTAAAAGTTGTTATATTTAAGTTATTTTTCATTCAATCTTTTTTTTGAACTTTGCGTCGTTTGATAGGAAATTTTAAATGTAAAATAAAAATTGGTGCAGTTGACATATTTAAATGATATCAGCCATTCTTTTGTAATTTAATGTTTTTTTTTATTTTAATGGCAGCAATTTTGAAATTTAGAATTGGATTAAGACAACTTTTTATTATAACATGGGTCTTATCTACCATGGGTTCAGTTTCTTAACGATTGGTTGGAATAATCTAAAGATACAAATATTTATGTGAAAACTATAAGATGGCGGATATCTGGTTAACGAGGCCATTTTGGAAAAATTTAATTCTTCATTTTCTCTTTATTTTAATCCATAGAACCATTTTCCGGAGTTTGGCAGTTTACTTACGGGACACCCTGTATAACTGGATTGCTAAATAAATCACAATTATTTTTTGTTTACTCATTTTGAAATAACAATCTATTGAACAAGGAAAACACGGGTACGTAATTATTATAATTCCTATAAATACCTACACTTATGGGTAGGCCTATTTACCTAGATTTAAAGTATAGTATCTGCCATGTAACGTGCCGTTTTTCCCGCTCGGAATATATGCGCTATTCCGTAGTTAAAGCGGGAAAGACGTCACCAACTCTCGCCAGCGGATCGCTCAAGTCGGAGTGCTGGGAAGTTTCCAGGGTTCAGATAAAAATAATTTATTTGATTAACTTAACAACCTAGCACAGGTACAGATTTGCATATACGCAAAAATGTAGTGTGAATCAGGTGTGAACTCAGTACCGGTAACCAACAACGCTACTGTACCATCATCATCGTTCACACCTGGGAACAGCTAATTAAATTAAATTTAAAAATAATGAAAACCCGTCAATGAAATTTTGAACGGACTTAATGTTGCAGTTTCGTCAACCTCAAACACTTGGAACTTACTTAGCTGAATATACTTAGCGTGCTCCACCCGACCTCGTGTTTGCACGACCTGCCGAGACGGGTTCAACTTTGCCCGCTTTGCCAGCAGTTCAACACCTACTGAATATCCCGGCAAAATATTCGCTAAAACCCCGTCACCCTCAATCTATATTGTAAACACAATATTAAACGATGTATTTATACGTATTGAATCTTTATCGCCACCCACGGGTGCCCTAGCATACGCTAAAGCGGACTTATACAGGTTCGAACACCCGTCAAAGACCCTACCGTGTGTTTTATGTCTAAAAGAATAAAATGAGGGTTAATTGCTAAATAAATGCCTTGACTAATAATAAACACTACTAAGAAAATCGGTGAATTACCTGTATACTCCAGGGATCTTCACTAAAACACACTAAGCACACGTTTAGCAAAATCACTCTTCGTTTCAAAGCAAGACACGTCCTAACGCTGTAAATCGCAGAATTAGAATCTCGTCGCATCCCTAGCCCACAAGGGATCTCCACTACTTCCCCCTCCCTAATCCTCTAGGGATGGGGAATCAGCTGATTCAATTACCAGCTGATCGGTGACGTCACGAGTTCAAACTTGGCGCTGTCACAACACAACACAACGCCAAGACAGTCGACTAGTAGTACAGGTTATGTTGTTAATGTTGTTATTCACCTGCGCCGACTGTGAAATTATACGGCAGAACTTTAATATCGTCGCTGGTTTAAACAAAAAGTATAATTTCCACCCGTGACGTGTAGCTTAGTGTCCGAAAAAGTGTATGCGTGTTATGTACGCGATATTGTATTTGTGATCGCGGTTCACCACCCTAGCCTAAACAACAACTTTGACCGTACTTCCCAAAGGTGTATATTAGGTATGGGGGTTACACGGAAACGGTTTATCACTCGTTTTGTACACAACAATGCTATACTGTGACTTGTGAATCTCAACAATAGTGTCTTTAGTGATTTTGCCAAAAGTGAGGTTATCCCTACTCAACCCTAGGATAGGCCTAAAACAGCCTATTTACCTTACCATGATAGGTTTACCACTGTCACCAACCAGGTAAGGTATAGGCCTACCGATAATTAAATAATAAATGTAAAATCTTAACCCCTCTATAATTTTGACCCATTACAGCCAAAATTAACACTACTGAAATTGAATCAGTAAAATGTTTTTCAGTACCGTTTATTCCAGCACATACTGTATATACCCATTTAACCCTAACCACACCAGAGTGGTTGAAATGGGTGGAGTTATCGTTAACTCAGTTAACTGATATCAGAATAACATTGTATTTTCCATCTTATAGTCTTTTCCACAGCTGCTTTACATTTCACTGTAAGATTAGATTAAATAGCTGTTATAAATAATGCACCCAGATACTGATTCATCATGATAGGGGCTTATTCGACTAAGACCAGCTCTGTTTCCTTGGGCTGAATCATTTTCACACTTCTATAATGGAGTATCTAAAAAATTCTTCCTATTCATATACGCAATATAATAAACTGATAAAATCTTCATCCGACTTACATTCCAAAGATCCCGTTGTGTTGAATTCTTTTTTTTTTGCTTGACTCCCTGGATCAGGTAGAAGAACACATTCAACATTGGCGAATGTCTTACCTACCATTTCCCACAGATATTTGTTTTCTTTTGTGCCCTGAAAATTAAATACAGATCAAGTATTAATTCATCATTGTTCATAAAAATTTAAGAAAATTTTTAGAGTTACCGGTGATAAAATTTATTGCTGTAATTATTATTTTTACATAACCTAAGTAAAGAGATCAAAATATATAACAGGTATGTGAACAAATAAAATCTTCAAACAAACATAATTCTTTCTTAGACTGGTCTAAAAAACCACTACCATGTTTAACATGCTTAAAAATCTTATTAACGTTACTCTGCTGTTTTTAAACTCAGCTGATGACGTTTCAGTAATAATGGAATAGTTGACGGATCAACTTTTAACCCAATAACCCATCATAAAAAAAATTCAATTAAAAGCTTCCTTCAATTAAAGCTTTCGTTAAAAAATATAGCAATTCTTCCTCTACCATGTTCCTCACGGAGTTTTTTTTCTTCACAACTATGCTATTATTAAAAGCTGGATAAATAGTAAAAAAAATAGAGCTTCAACATAACAATCTCTGATCATAAGCTATACAATTTAACTTTCTGACGAATCAAAATTTTATTAGGCTAGGTTTAAAGTAAAATGTTCAGTTTTGAAGGTACGGTACTTACATTCTTCAATTTGTCTGCATGAAAATACGAAAAAAATTATAATATATAAATATAATATTGTTAGTGATTTGTTCATCTTGGATGATCCTTAGCCTACACTTAATTAGGTTCTACTGTACCTAATCATAACTCTTATGGACACAGAATGAGACAACAAAGTTAAAATCACTTCAAATCCATTTCCACTACATGACATTAATACAGGGTGTTTATAAAAAAACTTTACAACTTTAACATTCTCCCATTCATGATCCATGGGACATAAACGTTTCCTATTGACACCACATGAAAGGGCTGCTCAAAAAGTTTTAATCAGCTGGCAGTTCAATCAGCTGATGGCCTTACATTGTTGTTTGGTAAACAAAAACAAATAATTGAAAAGTCTCATTAGCATCGCAATGGAAGCACGAATCAAAGCGCAGTGTGTGGAGTGGTTCATTGAAACGAAATCTGATGTTGTTGTTCAACGGAGATTTCGGACAAGACATAATAGGAATCCTCCTTCAAGACCCACAATTAGGGCTTGGTACTATAAGTTTATGAACACTGGCAGTTTGAATCACAAGAGAGGAAACGGTCGACCCCGTGTAAGCGATGAAGATGTGCGGCGTGTTCAACAATCATTTGTGAACGACCCGAAAAAATCCACCAGATCTGCGGCACGTGATTTGAATATAAAACATTCTACTGTACACAAAATCCTTAAATCATTGAAATTTCGTTCATACAAACTTCAAATTTTGCAAAAGATCACACCGAATGACTGGATTCTCCGAAAAGAATTTGCTGTGACTGTGCTAGATCGGTTGGCGGAAGATGAAAATTATTTGAGAAGAACTTTTTTTTCAGACGAGGCTACCTTTCATTTATCAGGTAAAGTCAACAAGCAAAATGTTAGAATATGGGGAACCGAGAACCCCCATTGTTATCAAGAGCACACCAGGGACAGTGAAAAAATTAATGTTTGGTGTGGATTGTTTCATGATAGGGTGATAGGTCCTTTTTTCTTCCAAGAAAACAACATTAATGGAAACATTTACATTGATATGTTGGAGAATTTTGCTTTTCCCCAACTAGAAGAATTACAGCCAAATGTAATTTTTCAACAGGACGGTGCTCCCCCGCACTGGAAGAGGTTTGTTCGGGATTGTTTGGATCAAAAATTCCCAAATCGTTGGATTGGCCGTGGTGGGCCAACACCTTGGCCTCCTAGGTCACCAGATATAACTCCATGTGACTTTTTTGTTTGGGGTTTTGTTAAGAATCGTGTCTACGCTAGTAAAGTGGACAACAAAGAAGAACTAAGAGAAAGGATCAGGAGAGCGTTTGATGAAATAGATCATTCAATTTTGCGTCGTGTTTGGTCAGAACTGGAATGTCGACTTGATTTTTTGCGAGCAAACAACGGGAAACACATTGAAGTTAGGTAAACTTCTTATCATGTAAATAAAACTTGAGAAAATTTCCTAAATTTTAATTTTTGTTTCATAGCTGTAAGTGAAAAAATAAAGGTTTTATGATTGTTTAAAGTTGTAAAGTTTTTTTATAAACACCCTGTAATATCAGACATACATAAATGGAGTTGTTGTGTAGTGTTGTAGGCCAAGTCATGCAAAATAGTTGAAATTTCTTAGAATCAAGAATCAAGATCTTTATTGTCATTGACCTTTTACAAGGAATAGACATAGTCAACAATAGAAATAAAAACTAAGGCTATAAAATACAGTTGGTTCTAAATTAAAAATTAATATTAACATCAGAAACTAAGTACTCTGTTATACAGTAATATGGATTTTGGATGAGCCACTCAAACATTTTAGACTTAAACCTATTAAAAAGAAACCTGTTTTGCTGCCAGACCTAATTTATTAAAAAACCGTATGCAATTTATTTTATGGCAGTTATCTGTTTTGGCCAATCTATGAGCAGGGATATCTAGATTGGATTTGCCTCTTGTATTGTAAGAGTGTATACATATAAGAGTGTATGCATATAGGCCTATATGCATTTTTGGTCAAAATTTGAGATTGTAACAGACTCGTAAAACACATAAAACACAAGAAAGTGAAACCAGATCACAGCAGACAAGGTGATTAGATATTCCAGGGTTAAGCAAAAAAAATTGTATTATCAATATGTTAGATTTATCAACAGGAAAATAAACCATTTAAAATACAAAGAGTTTGTTATTGCAATGTGTAGTAAGGAACAGAAAGTTTTTGTTGGCTTCTTGCTCTTAAGTCTTACGTAATCAATGGCAAAGAGTGTGTCAACACTTCGTTTTCTGTTTAACACTTATACTGAAACTCCGATTTGACAGGCCCAAGGGAATTTTCACAAATGCATGTTTGCAATACTGTTTAATTGGGGGATTCCATTCCCCCCTTTTCCTCCCCTACCTGTTGATATATTGTTTGTTCATTTTGCGAGGGTGATGTGACCTTGACAGGTTGTCAGTTCATAACATGCCCGTCTCAGAAGCCCAGCATTAGTGCATTTTAAAGCGGGGTCTCACAGACTGGAGGTTTCGGTTAGCGTCAGCCTGGGTAGAGTTTCGGTATTAGTGTTAAGGGGATTTTAAACGTTTTGCTACTCCTGACTTAACTGTACCAGTTTATCTGTTCATGTGACTGTTTTTTCTGCAATCAAAAAGGACTTTTAGGCCTATTTATGTTTAATTTTGTCATGACAATACAACAATTACATCCTTCGGTCACACCTAACAGAATAAATGTAGTTTCCTGTTATGTCGGGAATAAACCTATAAATTCACCTCCAAACCTTCAAATTATAGAGAATTTTGCTGACAAAACTTTGAATTACCGTGTGTCCCAAATAGCCTGTCTTCTGCTTAAACTTCAAATACCGAGGGTATAAAAATGGATGGTAAAACATTAAGAGTATCAATAAATTCTCTTCACACTGAGCTTTTATTTTGAATTACTAAGAGTAGACTGAATCAAATTAGCTTGGATGTGATTTTATCCTTGAGTTTATTGTTTCGCTTTGGACTCAAGGAAGTAATGAATTTGTATAGAAGGAGTTGCTCACAACTGTAGTCTGTAGCACTGCTCATACCAATCAATCAATCAATCAATAAATCTTTATTCAATACATACAACAAGTGTACATGAATGTGTCATCAACCTAAAACTACTTCACATGATTTCACCTACTTCCCTACTTGCTTAGTCATACAGTTTTTTTGTTACAGTGTTCAAAACTTTCCAAACTATAAAATTCGCTATAAATTAAAAACCCCTTAAGTTTATTTTTGAATTTATTTACGCTACTTTCGTTTCTAATACTGCTGGGGAGGGAATGCATGAATTTGATTCCAATATAATTAGGACTCTCCTTAAATTTTTCTTTTTTATGTTTTTTAGTTATGAAGTTTAGTTTGTTTCTAGTGTTATAATTATGTACGTCTTTCTGTCTTTGAAGTTCTGATTCATGATTTTTAACATACATTATCGTCTTATAAATATAGAGACTGAAAACGGTAAAGAACTCTAATTCTTTAAAATGATTTTTACAGGATTCGTTTATATCGAGATTAAGGATACACCTAATGGCTTCTTTTTGTAAATGTAAAATTTTGTTTAAATTTAATTTACTTGTTCCTCCATAAATTTCTATACCGTAAGAAATATGTGAGTGAATAGTAGCAAAGTAAACCTTTCTTAAGATTTCTCTGTTGCATAATGGATATAAGCGTCTAATAGCAAAAATACTTGAGCTGATTTTATTACATAAGTTGTCAACATGTGAGGTCCAATTAAGTGTGCTATTTAAGGTTAGGCCTAAAAATTTAGTTTCATAAACAAAATTGTTAAACAGTTCTTTTCTAGATTTTTTAGATTCAAACTCAATGAACGTTGTTTTATTTTCATTTAGTAAAAGATTTTTTTCATTCAAGTAATCTTTAATTATTGTGAGTGAATCATTAGTTTTATTTATAAGAAGCTCCATATTCTTATCATGTATCGACATACTTATGTCATCTGCATACAAGCACAGAGTATTATTTTCTACATGTTCAAATAAATGTTTTGGCATCCCTCCCAAGTAGCACAAGAACAAGAATGGGCCCAACACTGATCCTTGTGGCACTGAGTATTTTACTGTCCTAACCTCAGATTTAATATGGTACATTTTATTCCCACTTAAATGAACAATGTTAACAAACTGTTGGCGTCCCTCCAGATAAGATTCAATCCAGCTTAACTCTTTGCCACCAATTCCATACATTTTAAGTTTATTTAGTAACTTTAAATGGTGCACGCTGTCAAATGCCTTGGACATATCCAAAAAGGCACCAATTACTTTGTTGTCCTCATCCAACTTTTCCAACACATTTTCAATATAAGATATAAGTGCTGTAGTGGTGGATTTGTTTTTTCTATAACCATGCTGCTCTTTATCTAATAAGTTATTAATTTCAAAATAATCCACTAGCTGAAAAAGAAAGCATTTTTCAAATATTTTTGAAAGAGCTGGTTGAATTGCCAATGGTCGATAGTTATTTGGATCTTTTTTGTCTCCTTTTTTATATACCGGGATAATTTTTGAAATTTTCAGCTTATCAGGATAAACACCTGTTATAAGTGAAGTATTAATGACGTGTAAAAGTGGCTTTAATAAAACAGATTTAGATTCTTTTATTATTCTAATCGGAATTTCATCATAACCTGATGACCATTTAGGTTTTAATTGGTCTATTATGGATATTAAAATTGGTTCATCAATTGTTTTGCACTTAAACTTAGTGTTTGAAGCAAAATTTTCAGAACTAGTTTGGGTTTTATTCAGATTTGGTAAAACATGATGTTCCACCATATCAGCAAAATTATTATTTAATATATTTGAAACAGCATATGGGTCCTCTATTTCGGCACCATTCTGCATTAGTATAACATTATTATGCGCCTTATCTTTTTTACTTTTAGTTTCAGAGTTCACAATCTGCCAAACAGTTTTGTTAACATTGGTCGAGTTCCTAATTTTATTGTTAAAATGATTTTTTTTCTTAAGCTTTATAATTTTTCTATATCTTTTTTTACGTTCTTTAATACAATTCTTTAACTTAATGTTACTTCTATCATTCCTGTACAATTGGTGCTCTGCAATTAATTGACGGTGCTCATTGATCACCAGGCTTATCAATAGGCAATAGGTTAGAAATCGATGAAGTACAAATCTAATTGCTGTAAAGTAATTATAATATTCTCTTGTAATAAGTTAATTTTATATACAACAAATATCAAAACAAATAAAAACCTCATTTGAAAATATTATTTTTATTGAACTGGTCTAAAGTTGCGTCTACAAGCATATAATTAATGTTTCCATACCTTAATTTTCTGACTTGTGAAATAATTTTCACCCCCTTTCATTCCATATGGATAAGAGTCGATATCAGTCCAGTTCCTCACAACAAACAAAAGATTGTAGTCTGTTTCAAATTGTTTCATCTCTTCAGAGTTCAATTGATCATCGACTCCTTTGGTTAGATACCACTGAAAAAATATACATTATTGTAAGGACAGTGTGAATTAAAAAATTGTACTATGCACAACGTAATGTTTTATACCCCAATACACTACAAATTATTCATGCAGCATAAGGGGGGTTTTCTAATATTTTTAACCCTCAATATGTGGACTTTTTCAATTTCTCTCTAAACCATTTTGTAGAGCTTAAAAAACCCAAATAATTTAGTATCCTGAAGTATTTTTGTATGGTTTTTGGTTATGGAGATAATTAAACATAAACTGTATCAGAAATCTGACAGATACTTTCTCCCATTAGTCAACAACCTTTTTTATGGGTAAGCGGTGGGAGTAGGAACTATATTTTATAGTGAATATTACAAAAGCTGCAATAGCTTTTGAACCGTAATTTTTACAGCAATGGTGGGTTGCACTATTTTGTTTATAATTAAACGGACCATAACATAATAATTTTATTCAAAACCAGTTTTTTTGTTAATCTGATTTTCTGTTATTTTTATCGGGTTGTTATGGGAAAATAACATAAGTTATAACCACTTTTGAAAGTTTTTTTTTTACAGCAACGGGAGTTAAACTATTTTGTTCAGTATTTAAAGGGCTATAACATTCTAAAATTGTATGAAAATCGTTTAATCCATTTACGAGACGACTTTTCTGTAATTTATAGGATTTTATGGAAAAATTACTATTAAAAATTAAAATTTAAAAAAAATTTACAAACACCTAGAGATACCATGGATTAGTATCTACATACAAAATTTCATCAAAATCGGGCCACAGGCATGGTCTGTGGCTCTGAACACATACAGACAGACACACATATACACACACAAACATCTTTTAGAAAACCACTTTTTTGGGTCCAGGGGGATCCAAAACGGATTATCCAATGTAACTTGAAAATTTTGACTAAAACAATACTTTCTGCATATACTATGGTATAGTGGGAGAAAGTAAAATGCAGATTAAAATTTCCATGTTATTTTTATAGAGAATAAGTCAATTGTTGTGGTTTGCAAGTTTATCTGTGTATTTTGATCAAACTTGGGAAATTTATTTATTTCATACACGTCTATTTACATTCAATCAAAAAACCCACTTTATTATCTTCCCTGTATCAGTAAATCTAACAACTCATAAAACCTTATGTTATTTAAGGGAGTAAATATAGCTTCACTAAATAACTTCTTGATCAGCATTGTACGTGTTATTAAATTTACGGAATGTAAATAAAAGAAACGTCTTATAACACTTAAAACATATACAGATGCTTGCATAACAGATACGCTTATACTGTTACTCACAAGACAGTACAGGACAGGACAGTTTTGGTAAATATACAAAACAGATGGTAAGTGGTGATCGATTTCGATTGGACACTCCAATCATCATCAGACCCAATAGGCGAATGACAAGAATCTTAATGGCGTCCCATTGTTTATTAGAACATTAGAACATTAGAAGAGATAAAAGAGGAAAACACCAGATATATCACATTTAGCTACACGGGGACTACAACACAAAGGACTGCTAACAGATTCAAGAAATACGGAGTTTCAATAGCCTACAGGACTCAGAACACCATGAGTAAAATACTGCATCCGAAAATAGAAGATTTCAACAAATTCGACGCTTCGGGCATCTATAAAATCAATTGTAACGATTGTGATAACTTCTACATTGGACAGACTGTGAACTTCGTTAACCGCTTCAAAAACCACATATCTGCGTGGAGGAACAACAAATCGGAAAGATCAAATGTCGCACAACACCTGTTACAAAATGGCCACTCACTAGGAAAAATTGAGGATAGTCTAGATATTTTAAAGAATTGTAAGAAAGGATATGTAATGAATGCTTGGGAAGAATTGTATATTTATAAGGAAAAATGTAAAAATAGAAATAAGTTGATTAATGAACAAATACATTTTGATTCCAGTTGTACTTATAAAAATGTATTGGCCGGTGCTTCCGGAAGCCAATAGGGTATAAGTAGGGACGCCATTAAGATTCTTGTCATTCGCCTATTGGGTCTGATGATGATTGGAGTGTCCAATCGAAATCGATCACCACTTACCATCTGTTTTGTATATTTACCGTCTTGTGAGTAACAGTATAAGCGTAAATATATGTTTTAAGTGTTATAAGACGTTTCTTTTATTTACTTTCAGTAAATATAGGACATATTATTATGAAAGCATTTAATAAAAATCAAATAGAATAAGGAACATGGAAATTCAGTAAGACAGCCGGTTTGTTTCCATTAATAATCTCAAAGATCCACTCTGCAAACAGTGTTTTGATCAATGGAGGAACTATTGGGAAAATATTATGACAAATAAATAGTTAAAATATACCGGTCGTGACTTGTAAAATTCAAGTGATTCTGTTTGTTATACGAACACAAAAATACATGACAAATTCTACCCAAACTAAGATATTACTGATATGAACTAAACGTGATACTGGCTGAAAAAGAAGTAATCAAAGTGACCCAGAGGCTTAAATGTTATAAATCTTGCAATGAGGAATATTTTTAATAAAGTTGTTTCAGGATATACTTTTTATAAACATGACGCTGTTTTTTTTGGCAATGATCCCTAGTAACATTCATACAGTGTTGAATTCTAAAATGTCGAACTTACAACAATGCCCTCCAAGTCTTTGGTTGTAATGCGCTCGTTCACGTTAAACATTTGTCGGTAGCTGATGACCGCAGATATTCCTAAAATAGAAGTGAATTCACCGTCTGTTGCTTCTCCATCGTACATCCCTTCAGTGTCCAGCAACAAAATCCCCACCTGCAAGTGAAATAAAATTGTTAGAACTGAACCAAATACAAGGAGTATTACATAAGTTAACCTGTTTTCACTGGCAGTTACACAAATCCATTCATTAAAAAAAAAAATTAAAACTTCACCTGTACTTTGCAACAGGATGAAAACACAGAATAATTGCCTGGGTAGCCAAATGGTTATAGTGCTTGGCTTCAAATCTGAAGGTTGATGGTTCGTTTACAAGCAAGATAGTTTCCAGACCCAGATGCCATTTGTCATTTGGCTATGAATTAATGATGTTATCTAACAAATAGGTCGACGTTAGGTAGTAGCAAGACCAGGGTTTGGATCGTTCCCTTTTAAAACGTAAAAAATGCCACTGGCGTAGAAACACGCAAAATATAAAGAGAGGAGTTTTTAAAAGCTACTGATTAAAATAATGCCTACACCACTCCACATTAATTCCCTTACCACTCTCTTGACGGCCATGAGCCGACATCTGCGGTTTCTCAATTGTATCAAGTCTTCTTGAAAAATGGGGGAAAATTAAAAAAAAAATTTTTTGGGCAATTTTATTTTTATTTTTTATTATTAGTGTAATTTGAAGTTAAAATACTGGTGGGCTTAATGGCCTGCATAATAAATTAAACCTAGGGTATGGGGAGGGGCCCTAAAATGAGAATGGAGAGTGTTAAGAAACTTAATCGTTGTATTACTTGCAATAGTTTTATCTTAGACTATTGATAGAAGTTTAATTAGGATAGCTTAAATATTGTGAAGAGGAAGTGTATGACAATTTTGTGCGGGTAAGCTGGAAGTGTGGATACAAAATAACTTGTGCTGACCTACAGAAGGCTGTTGCTTGAAGAAGGCCAGTGCTTGATCAAACCTTGATCAAAACTTCTTGATTAAAACTTGATCAGGGGGTCAGTTTTGTGTGTAGGGGTAATGAGGTCTACTAGAGGAGGGGTCCTGCTGGGGGAGCTGGAGCCCAAAGCCTTTAGCCAATCTTAAGTGTTTTCAAAATTGGGGTTTAGACTCTTTTTACAAATTAAGGTTTCTGTTAAAGCTCAACTCTGTTTTAGTCTACTCTATCTGTTGGTAGTTATTAATCTTTGAATATTTTGTTGGCTGATAATAAAGTTTTGTTTTGTAAGCGAGTTCTGAGTTAAATTTCCTGACCTGGGTCACCCTGTGAGTAGGATATAATTGCGAAACGGCAGATGTCGGCTCATAACCGACAAGAGAGTGGTAAGGGAATTAATGTGGAGTGGTGACTGTGAGTAGGCCTCAAAGGAGCCTTGACGTTTACCCACAGATACAAAAACAGACATCACTTTTCTTATTAAAGTTACAACTAGATCGCTAATTTCTTGTAGAATGGCAGTACAGTACACCGTAGCGGATGAGTTGAAACAACCCCTAAACCCACCCCTGACTGTACTTGTGTGTGTTTAAGAATAAGAATAAGATCCTTTATTGTCATTTTAACAGTTTACAATGTACAGTAATAGGGTTTGAGAATTGCCACATAATTACAATGCAATTATATCAAACAAAATAATAACAAAGATAATTTAAGATAGTAAGTAAAAATAAGCTGGCCTAGTTTAAAATCTACTAATGTCAAGTACATAATGACAGACTAGATAAAAATAAGTATAATTCAATTTAAAATAGGACGAGTACTTGAAAGCAAGACTAACATGATTAGATGAGCATGATTGAATTTGAAACGAATTAACATAAAGTAAATAAAAACAGACTAGATCAAGAAGTTAAGTACTAGAACTAAAACCAAAATTTGAGTTATTTACTACAAAATATGAATGTTATAATTCCTATTGTGGCACAAAACAAAGGAATTAAAGGTACTTACGTCGTCATTAGAACCAGTTCTAAGTTTGAATATTTTAGGGTATATCCAGAGCCCTCGAGTGACACTTTCACAGCTATTTTTCCAAGGAAAACTGTGAGGAACTGTGTTACTTTGCCAACCAGCATGGCTCTGAAATGTGTTACATTTATTTAAAATAAAATTGAAGGGTTGCACTACAGAGAAAAATAATAATTTTTCAATTTTACTATAGTTCACAACTCTAATACTCAATTAGTCTAGGTCCAATACTCAATTACCCTACACATCAATCAACCTTAATCCTTTGTCATGGAAATTTTTCTTCGATTTCTCTTAGTGATGTGTCAAAACCAAAATTTTCTAAACTACTAAAACTTTGGGAAAGTTCAGTTTTGTGATTCGATCAACAAACTACTAAAACTCTGGGAAAGTTCAGTTTTGTAATTCAATCAACGAGTTTTGAGATTTAAAACTAACTCTGATGAAAAAAGTTAACTATTTTCTCCTGAACTGCAACAGGTACAGTAAAACTCCGATCATCCAAACCAATTGGGATCCTTACACATTTGAATAATTAAAAGTTCAGATAAATGGATTTTTACCGAAATTTGCCATGAGTATTTTACAGAAGATAGGCCAAGTCCAGCAGAGCTTTTACTATTGCGATAGCAGAACGCATTGTGTGAAGATTTCAGGATAGAATAAAACACTCTTATGTAATGATTGTGGAGGTTAATTATGATTTTCTGTGATCACGGGATACAAGGATAATGTTTACAAGACTGCAAGAGAGCTTTAGGATGTTGCTGCTATTTTGGTTACTGCTTTCTTTAATAACAATTCATATTACTGTAGATTTTTATCCTTATGTTAAAGTTTTATTTTTTTAATTCTTTCTGCTAGCGATAATTGGCGATTCGGATTTAGGATAATTGGAGTTCTACTGCCTTTACACAACCACAGAATACTATTTTATATTGATATCAATTATTGAACAAAAGTAATATCCACCACTATATGTTTAAATTTATCTCATTTTAAAGTTATTATTTCAGTGTCAGGGTTCCAATTTCATTCAGTTTTCATTGTATGATTGACATTTTACTATTAGGTACCCGTTTTTTTTCTTTTTTTTTTTTTTTTTTTTCTGTGAAAGTAAAAGGGTTTTGTAATTATATTTTGAGATTCAGAGTTTGATTTTTAAGTTTTGGTTCTAAAAAGATTAGTTATTCCTATTTTGTTAAATGTTTTTTATGGCATATGTTTGCCAACATATTATCCATAAAATACAAGACCTATAAAATAACCCTCTTTCCAGGGCAGGTAGCTAAATGCATAAAAGGCCTTGTATGTGTATAAATATGTTTTGTAGGGGTAGCGGATTTTTACCCCTCTGGAATTTTACCCCCTGGGCAAACGTGACGTCACAAACCAGGGGGTAAAATTCCGGCCGCGAACTTTTGAGTTTCGCGACATCAGCTCGATGGATTAAATACGGAATTAAACATATATTTTCACAGTTGTGAATTTAATCAGAACACATCAAATTATAAAAACCTAAAGTGTACGGCCCGGATTTTTATCCCCGGAATTTTACCCCCGGATTTTTACCCCCGGAATTTTCCCCCTGGCCAGACATATAAATTAGTGAAAATGATCAATTATCTTCATTCTCTTTTAATTGAATAGTAAACATTTTATTATTAAGTAGCCTATCTTAATTTATTTGTAACAACAACTAATCGAACAGGTTTTTTATTTTAATTTTTAGATTCGAGTATCAGGATTCGATCTTTGAAGCCAACTGTTGATTAATATGACGTATAAACAAACATCAGAATGGTAATTAATTCGAAGATTTCTTTAACGATTTATTATACAACTGTGGTAAAACAATGTTTTTCATTTGTATTGTAACAATAACAAAATATGTCTTATTGTTTCTTTACAAATAAATGTTCACCCAATTATCATTTAAATGAGCTACTCAGTTTATTTTACATACTTATTAACCAACAGTTGGCCCCAAACGCAAATCCCGAACATCAAAATTAAACAGCGAATTCTGTTTACTTAGTTGAGATAACAAAATAAATAAAGATAGGCGACTAAATAATGAAACGTTTACAATTAATTAAAAACAGAAATAAGAAAATCAATCATTCAATTTCTAAAATTGGCCAGGGGGTTAAATTCCGGGGGGTAAAAATCCGGGGGTAAAATTCCGGGGGGTAAAAATCCGGGGGTGAAATTCCGGGGGTAAAAATCCGGCCCGTACATCGTCAGTTGTCTAAACGCTAGTTATATGGACAGGGGGTAAAATTCCGGTTTTTATCGCTAATCTAATTAATCACGCTCTGGCTATTTTCATTAGACTTCCAAATTCGCGGGGGTAAAATTCCGGCCACGAACAAACTTTTGGCCACTCAGCTTACTACGTCATAGTGACGTCAGCTTTGCCCAGGGGGTAAAATTCCAGGGGGATAAAATTCCGGCGACCCGTTTTGTAGACAAGTTTTTTTTGTAAGTAAGTCGTTGTAAGTGGCATCACTGCATAGGTAACAGCCATGGCAGCAATAATTTTGCAAACTCTCCCTTGTCTACATTTAAAATTCTCCCATAGGGACAAAATGTGTGTTTTATGATCTACCTGTTTGATACTTGGTTATTCATAAAGCCAATTTTGAGGATGCTGATTCTTTACCTGGTTTTCTAGATGACGAATCATCAGATTGAGGAGGAGAGATTTGCCTCCATTGGTTAAACCGGCAATGGAAAATACCAAAATGGGCAAGTCCTTAACACCATCGTCCAGTAACACGTCTTCTAGACTAGGCTGGTTTTCAAATTTGTGGACTGTTCTTATTTTCCGCACTTCTTCTATTTTTCCTTCATCTCTAAGTTTGGTATCAACTATGTCGATTACTTGAATCGCTCCTAGAAACATAAAGTCAATGTGTTAGTCCTGTAGAAATACACTTTTTACTTGGAAAGTTACAAATGAAAGTTGACAGAATTTTAACATGTTGTCTGGAGATACTCTGAGATGTATATCCTGAGTTTTCAACCTCTAGTATCTTGTGCTAACTTTGGGAGGGGCCAAAAACTTCCAAATTGTCGATATTTTCTTATGTTCTTTGTGTATATGTTGTAAATTAAATCTTTCCTCTTCTATGTCTAGATTGCGCACGATTACGTGCACCAGGTTTGTTAGTATAACTTTACGCTCTTCTGTCTTGTTTAATTTTTTTCATAACCAAGAATGATTGTGATTGCCTCATGAGGAGGAAAATCTAAAAAAAACTTTGTATTAGCAGGTTTAAATTTGACTAATATTAGCGCAAAAAATATAAGCTAAACTGAGGATTATGACTATAAATTAATTGATGAAAATTGAGAAAATTAAAACTTACTTAGATACATGATGGCGTTAAATAATCATCAATTCAGCCTTTCAAACATTCTCACATATTCCTTAACACTTTTACAACATTGTGACCCTCTTCAATAAGGTCAAAGCGCTAGACTGGACATTACACCATTAGATTGTAGGCTACATATTTTGTAACCAACTGAATTCTGTGGTTGTCTTTGTAATATCTGAAACAAAGAAAAAACATTTATTATTAAATTTGTTACACATATTTTACTTTGTTTAGGTTGAACTTTTATGGAGTTCTTATGGAAAGAAGGATAATTTATTTCTTGGAACTCAAATACGGAGCACGTGATCTCTATTACCAGTCAATCAGTACTGGATAAAATGTGGCACAGAATTATCTTCCCTAGTTACCAGAGGGCTATCATGCTTATTGTAGCCCTGAATGAGGAGTACCACAGGGAGAACCCACAGGCCCTTGGAATATTTTTGATTCGTGGTATTCGAATCCATATATATAAAGGCCAATAGGCCCCATACAGGGTGTCCCGTAACTCTCTGGACACATGTATACCGTATAGTGTTATTGCTAAGGTCAAGACAAACACATTTCACCATAGGAACATGGGTCTGTGGTGCCTAGTTTTCCGTCTGTCTGTATCTATGTGCTTTTTTCAAAAAAATTAATAACTCCTAAACGGTTTGAGATGACAGCGTTAAGATTTTTCAAAAATGTTTATCTAATTAATACCCATATTTGTTTAAAATTGTACTAAAAATCATTACCCGTTTAAAAATGGCAGCCATTTAAAATATTTGATGCCAAATTTCACGAAAACCGTTAACTTCACAAAAAAATTGCAAGAGACAAAAAAGTTAGTAAATGTTATGCAGTTTTCAATGATACCTTAACTTATTTGTTAAGAATGGATAAATAATAACAGAGAAATATCTTCTTTTCCAAATGCATGACCTCTTATCTCCATTTAAACAATGCTAATACTCCTTTTACATTGTCTAAATATCTTTACAATAATCTGTTATAAAACATAACAGCTGATTCAATCATTTGTTTTCCTACAGTTACCTAACAATGTACATGTTCTCTCACTGATTTGAGAAAGCAAAGTGGCAAATTCGCTCATCAGTGAGACAATGTTAACATTGTCTCACTCTAATTACTTTGTCTCACTCACTCCATATTAGCAAAGTGAAGGAACGAAATAGTGAGCGCGTAACATGCAGAAAAGGTCGTATGCGCGTGAAATACATTGGCAGCACTGGCTGTAAATCAGCTCGTCAGCTGTTGTACTGTTGCATCATTAATGTAAATCATTAAAAGTTCACTCCTGTGTAAAAATATGTCACGTTTCTTTACCAATTTATTTGTTTTATGGTAACTGTAGGAAAAATATAATGTGCAACTCGAGTGCAAAGTGCAGTTGCCTCACTCGAGAAACCATTCTTCACTCGCCTACGGCTCGTGAGTAAGTATTTCTCTCGAGTAAGTCACAAATAACTATTTTGTTATTTATAAGTATAACTTGTTGTTTGTTATAAGTAAAGAATCTATATATTAATACGCAAGCAGTTTTCTTTTCACAGTCATAACTCAATAACGGCTTGATGTATTTTAAAGTTTGATGTGTCAAATTAAAGGTATTTTCACGTAGATGTGCAAATACGTCTCAGAATATTTGGAAAGGGCACCAATTAAGTACAGTTAAGGGCTAAAGTTTGGAAGGTGGCGCCATCTGTTGAAATTTGATCAAACTCATTTCCCTTTGTTTACAAATAACATATGGATGTAATTTGAAATAGTTTTTAAGGATATAAAAAAATATTCCGGTATTTCGGAAAAATAAATTGAATATCTGTTTCTATGTTTCTTTATTCAATTTCTAGCGTGTAAGATAATACAAAACAATTGAACAAGTAAAAATAAGATCGGTTATGTATATTATGTTGTTGATCTCTAATTTACATTGTTGTAGTTTGTGCTCTGATTAAAAGTTTTAGGGGGTTGCTTTTCTTAAAAAAGGTAATAAAAGTTTGCAATTGTTTTATTTTTTCTTACTGTGATATTTACATAATGAGTTGCAGGTAAAGATTCTTCAAGTTCTTCATAATTCTTCAAAGATAGTGTATTTAAAGATAGTCTATATCTCTTCAACTTTGTCGATTCAATTATTCAGATACCAATCAGTATTTACTTCCAAACAGGAAGTAAATAAATTCCTCAAATTCCAAAGTTCAAATAAAATAATAAGCTCAAATTCTAAACGGGAAGTTAAAGGAGATGAAAACAAAATAATATACGTTCGTCGTAATCATGATGTACCTGGTGTAAAATTCTAGCTTTGTCTGTTCAGCAATGTTTGCGTTGACTCGGAACAAATACACGTACAGAAATTACTTCATCTAAAGATATTATTTACGAAAGTAAGTTTACCTTACATTACCAAACGATTAAGCTAAAATTTTGGGTAAGGTTTAACTAAAAACCAATGTTAGTTAATGTAAGATTAGAACCCGGGACCTTCAGTACACCAGCCCGCTAACCACTAGACCACCGAAGCCGTTGTCCACTAACCGTATTGTTACGGTAATAGCGTTCCCTCAGCTAATAAGAAGCCCACAGCTGTCATCGTAGCCTCTTCCGTACCTCCCCTGAGTAAATACCTATTTAGGCTTACATCGTATTTTACCGAATTATCGTGTTGTTTTGGTTACAGTTTGGTGTGATGAAATGAATGTTTGAAAGTGATTATTTCCAGTGCAGTTACATCACCATATCATGTAATTTACAATGTATATAACAATTCCATTGTAGTATTTTCTGTTGTTTTGTTAACTTTGGTAATTTATCTAAATTTAAAATAATATGTCACCAGTTAGACGAAGACTGTGAGTGGCTGGAGGAAACGCGAACGTGGCCGCTTGCACCAATATCCTAATGTATCTTTTGAAGATTACAGAGTGGCAACCACCGTGTGGGATACATCTAACCTTGGACAAATGAACGTTAAATGTTTACATTGTGGTTGCTTAAATTTTAAGCAAAAAAAAGAGTCTGGCCGATACAATTCAATTGTTACTCTTTGTTGCCATAAATGAGAGAATCATTTGCCTCATCTGCGGAATTCACCATACTTTCAGGAACTTATTGGAAACTCCCAATCTGAAATCAGGGCTGTGAGGCTTGGATCTAGAAATTATTAGAATAAAATTCGTCAATTCAATTCGGCCTTTGCCATGGTCAGCTCTGAAGCTCATTTAGATGAGAGGATCATAGGGGATCTACAATTTCAAGATCCATGACACTTGAAAGGAATGATTTAATGAAAAAAATATGTGGGAAATAGGGTCACATTGCCAACCCATTTGCCCAATCTTTTAAAACTGTGGCAGAAATGTGTAGGGACGAGAGCTCCGAGAAGTTAAGGGATATTCTTTACATAACAAGAGACAAAATAATTAGCTTTCCTCGCTACAATGATGCGACCTGTATAAATGTCGCAGCTGTTTTTAAAGCTGAAAACAAAGGACCACCAGACCAAATAAATATTAGTTAATTTTTTTTTTTTCAAAAACTAATAATGTTAAACGCGAATCCGTTCTAGATACACTTGCTTGCCCTCTAATGTTCCCAACTGGAGACTTTGGTTGGGGCCCCTAATTTAAACACGCCTAAAACAGAACCTATCGTAGAAATAATTTAACAGTGCTATATTACGTGTCGTACTGGTTTGCGTCAAGAGAGGGATTTGGCTTGCAACATTAGGTCGGAAAAGCTCACTTTACAGGGTGTGGTTGACATCTACGTTCTCATAGTGGGGATCCACCTACAATACATGAGAGCGGATCTATATTTATTTAAATATTGTAGGTTAGTTTTATAATTTGTTACAACATAATATTTTCGTATTTCTATAATCAGTCATAGACTTAAGAATTACTCTTTGATTGAGGTCTTGCTGTTTATGTTTTTGTTGTTTATTTTTTTATTACAAGTTGCAGTTTTGCTCGATTTCGAGCAACAGGTTATCTAGTTTTCCTTGTTGTAAGTAAAGGAGGCCTCTTGTAGATAAAGAAGTGCCATAAGGTATTGTCCTTATTGTATTTAATAATTACAAAAAATGTTATCATTATCAACGTTTTTAAATTGATTTAATGAAAGATTAATGTTACTTTATCCTTCCATTATGTTATGTTCTTTATCCGTGAAATAAATAGTTCACGGAGACTGTAGATATGATTCAAAATTCCCATATAAACTGCATGGAAAAATTCAACCAATCACAGCGCTGCATCAGGTTCTACAGTAATAGATATAGGATGTTTGGGACTCCATCCAAACGGTAGTTTTGCCTATTGCCACAACAAGCGCTGAGCAAGATCTGTTGACTGTCAACAGAATATTATCTGACAAATAAGTGAATACAGTATTTAATGATTTGAAGAGATTAAAAAATGTTCATCGTGCCGCCGGTATTTGAGGTGTTAATTAATTAATATACATACATACTATTGTTTCTCTAGAAGTGTTGTTTAGTGATGCTAATGAGTTATGAATTCTGTTAAATATATTTCTGCAAAGTATGTGAGTGGTAGGCTAAGGACAATTAATTATGAACAAAGAGACAATAAGTACAGTACGGTACGATTAAAACATTTTATTGTGAAAAGTAACCTTAATTTAATGTTTAAATAACTTAATATTTTTAACTTTTTAGCCTTTCCCCTGTATCAGTACCGTAACCTCCAAAAAAAGTTAGGCGTCCTCCCACAACTTTAACCCACCAGCTGCCACTAATCTACACCAAATCCAACGGTATATTTTCCATTACGATCCGAACACTATAACATCATAAAATCCCGCCGTACACTGTGCTTGCTGTCTTTGGACTCGTCTTTGTAGGTCGGCATTTTGACTGTTCTATGACAATCAACATAAAATTTTATCACTATTTTAGGGAGCTAAAATTTGTCCTTAAAAGACCTGTTAAGTTACAGCAGGATCCAGGATGAGACTAATGACATGGTCTTAAATGTAGGCCTGGTAAAAATCTGGACCTTTATTTTTACTGTTTCAAACAAATCTAAACAATCCTCAGCTTTGGTGTTTAGGCAACCAACACTAGCAGTTCCTCTTCAGAAACACTGTCATTATGCCTATTTAACACGTTGGGTGCTGATGACGGGAATTCCCGCAATTGCT